GGAGAAGGGGGAGAGATCACTGAGTAGTTCATAGGGTCTAAGACAGATTTAAGTGCACGGCCTCTGGTATTTGCGGAGCGGTTTCCCCAGTAGGGGTGTTTTGAGTTGAAATCACCTCCAACTATGAATTTTTGACCTAAGGTGGAAAAAAAGGTTTGAAATTCGACAGACGAAATTTTGGGTCCAGGGGGACAGTAGATTGCAGAAACGGCAATGGGGGTAGAGTTGACAATGTTGACTTGGATTGTAGTGGCTTGTAAGTAAGGTTCAGAGTGTGGGGCTAATTGATGATGGGATAAATTGTTTTTAATGTAGATAGCGGTACCAGCGTGGGCAGTACCGTCCGGATGACAAGTATAATAAACTTGATATCCAAATATTTTTGAGTGCGATGTGGGGGTAAAGTGCGTTTCGGAGATAAGGGCGATGTCGATATTTTTAGTTTCGAGAAAGAGTTGGAATTCGTGCTTATGTTTGGAAAGACCATTGGCGTTCCAGGAGATTATGGACAGGGGAGAGTTTAGATTAGTATTCAGAGTCATTGGTAACAACTAATTTATTGATGAGAGAGGAGAGGAGGGTTATTAGAAGTGTAATGAGTGATTGGAGCTCATGAATGAATGATGTCAGTTGATTTGAGAGAGGGTTTTCGGGAGGAGAGTCATTAATAGGGGATTGGGTTTTACCTTTTGTTGCGCTGGCGTAGGAGTTCTGTCGAGTGGCCGGACTGGTTTGAACAAGGTTGGGGTTGGTCTGCTGAGAGATGTTCGAGCTGGTGAGGTTTGCATGGCTGGTGGTAGATGAGTTGCTTGAGTGTTGATAGTATTTGGTTTGGGTGAAGTTCTTGAGTTTGGAGTTTCTTGATCGCAACAGAGTTTTGTGTTTGATGCATCCCTTATAATTTGCAGGGTGTGCTTCCCCACAGAGAGCGCAGGATGCCGGGGTATCCCTTGGTTTTTCACAGAGTTCAGAGAGGTGACTTTGGCCGCAGCGGACACAGCGAGGGTCGCGATTGCAATAAGTTTTGGTGTGGCCATAGTCCTGGCATCTATGGCACTGGGGAAGGTCCTTCCGGGAGTGAGGCTCTTCGACTTTAATTTTGGTGTAGCAAAGTGAGGTAAGTTTGAAGATATTTGGATTTTCAGGAGCCGGGTCTAGATCGACGAAGAAAAGCGGGAGAGGAGATTTGGAAAGTCTAGCCTGGATATTAGAGATGTTTCTTACAGCGAAGCCCTTAGAAGTTAGTTCGTCCTTAATGGAATTTGTGTCCGTCGTTGGGTGAAGATTTCTTATCACAACCCGATAGGGCTTATCAGCTTTGACTTGGTAAGTAAAATACTCGAATTTGTTCTCGTTTAGCAGATGTATAATAAGGCGATAGAATTCAATTTTGGTCGTAGTGAGTTTTAGGTGTTTGGTAGATGATTTGCATTCGAAACCGTTTTCACCCGTGATCGATAGTAAGGATTTGCAAAAATCATTAAAATCGACTGGTGTAGTGATGAAGATAGGTGGCGGAGTTGTAGGAGAAGGTACATTTGTTTGTTCAGCCGTATCCATGGAGTCGGGGGTAACCTCATCACTGAGTGCTTTCATAGCGATTTGGAGTGGAGAATTTGGAGGTGTTAGTTTTAGTGATTTTTGGCTCTTTAGATTTTGGAGAAAGACCTGGCGAAACGATACGTTTGTTGTTATTAGTAGACCATGATTGGTCGTCGGAATCATCGGAGAGATTACGTAAGTCGCTGTTTAAGTTAATAATGATGGTTAATTTCTTATTTACGTTTTTATCGGTCTTATCGTTCGGCTTGAGAGGCCGATTAGAATTGTTTTGACTCGAGACATTATCACGAGCGGGATTTTTATTTTTACCCGACGACCTTGAGTTGAGCATCGTCGACTTGAGATAGTGAGCAGCGGTAGGCAATTAGACCGATAAGCCGGTCGGCCGGTAACACGCACGTGACGGGCGGGCAGACGCCGCCCAAGTAGGCAATTAAATATGTTACCGATTTTCGATTTTTGAGACAACCGCGGGTCCGATCAAAGAAAGGTAGACGATATGTTTAAGGTTGAGATAATACGAATTTTTAGACACTTCAACGAAAAAATTCGGTGGTGATTGACTCGCACAGCTAGTACTATATGCGGAAAGACGAAGTAACGATGTTACGCTGACGGCGTACATGGCGTGACTAAATAAACATTTAAGTTTGTTATATTGTATTATTGTATCGTATTAGCTTCGTGGCTTAAATTTATTTGCCAATGCTTTTAAATACTGCAATTTTGAAATTTCATTCATGTTTAATTTATCTGCAATTAAATTATTAATAAAATTTTTTATTTTTTTGTGGCTGTCCAATAATTTTGATTTCCATTTTTGATGATTTAATTAATATTACCGTATCTAACTGCATTGATTTTAATACATCCAAAAATTTATAAATATGAGGGTAAGTAGATGAAAAATTAAAATATTGTATTTACTGTGAAATGATTCACAGCCGTTAGTAGACATTTGCGCACTCGATGTCATTTCAGCCCATATTTTCGGTGGAAAAGACGAATCTTTATCTATATAATTGTCAACCAAATAATCGAGAAATTCAGTTATTTTGTCATTTTCAAGTTTTAGTTTACTAAGGTCTATAGCAAAAACGTTGCCTACCTGAAAATAAATAACTGTTTAATTAAAAATTATAATAATTATATAATAAATTAAAGTAATCAAAATTTTACTTCTTCTAGATGTAAAAATGGAAGGCCAAATATGTATGTGAGATATTTTCCAATCTCGTTGTTTTTTTAATATTCTGTAGCTAAGCCAATTTTTTGTATATTACACCACCAAGATTGACATAAATGAAATATACAACCCTTAATTTCAATTTGTGACCAAACTTCAAGTAATGCATTATGAATGGATTTTTTAAAATCAACGAAACACGTTTTTGGTTCAAATACTTCCACGGAATTCAAACATTGGTTACGTAATTCGACAAAAGCTCGTTTATATGATACTTGACTTTTATCTCTTAGCAAAAAAAATGTTAAGAGTATATAATATTTATTTTTAAAACTATATACGAGTATTGTAAACAATTGGCAAAAATATTGAATACAATAATCAAAAGTACTATCCACACATATAGTAGGTAGTTAGCGAACTTAAGAATTTCGTATTTTTATCACTCGAAAACATCACAAAATCATTTAATAGGTAATTTACTATTAAAAAGTTCTCACCCTTAAATGTCTTAATCTCAATGAATGATAAAATATTAAGGATTTCATTCGCATCTTGTGGTAATTTTGGATAAATAGAATTCCTAGCACGATTCATATTATTTTTTATGAAAATTACGTCTGAGCTTGTTAATGTACTTATATTACACTTTTTCATCTCGTCATGAAATAATTTTGCAGGTCGTTCAGAGAGCTGCTCTTAAGCTTTTCGTTTTAAATTGTTGCTGAGTATTTATCTATTAATTTTTTGCTCCGAGTCTTTCGCAGAATTGTGAATAAGTTTTAGTGCAAAATTTTTAAAAATAATAACCAATAAATAATAATACAAATTATTTTAAACATTAGATAAGAAATAAATAGTTAATAAGTTTATATTTTTTTGAAAATTATAAGCTATCGATAATCAAAGTCAATTGTACGTTTTTAAATAATCAATTCGTTAATGTAAAATGTTTACGCAAGTAAATTTGGAAAAAATATATCTTTTATTTTGGCGCAAATGGGGTGTACCCAAAACGAATTAATTTTTTTTGGCGCAAATAGGTAACCACCCTGGTTTTTACCGATTTCAAGACCGAAGTGGCTACACCCACCCATTTAAATTAAGTATCTATACGACATTATTGCCACAGTTGAACCACAGATTAAGTAAAACTTAATAATTTACTTAATAATTAATTTATTTAATCTGTGGTTGAACCATAAGTTCTGCGCTACTAGTTGTAATCATAAATCATAATGATTTATCTTGGCGTTTTAAAGTCGTGAAGATAAAACGTCTAACGAGTGTACCATAAAGTTAGGTATGACAGTTTAGCAAAATGTATGATCAAAAACTTTTTAATTGCAAAAAAACAAAAAATTTAATCCACTAAAGTTCTTGTGATAGCTGTTCGCTTATTTTCGTTAACCATCATATACATATACGTGCGCACACACTTATGTCGAACTCAACAACAGCGGAGCTCTCTTCGCACTTATGACAGTGCAGCGGTGGAGTTAAATAATTTAATATACGTAGTTTTATACTTCGTTGTTTGATTTTCAAACTCTACTTATATTAGTCATTAGTGACATGCTAAAACAGTTATTACATATATATCTAAATATCTTATATTAATATTATAATATTGTGTTCGGGATATTTAAAATGTTTTTTTAAGGATTTATTTTGCTAGAAAATCCGAGCCATAAATTAATCAGTAACAAAATCTATTAACACAATGGTCATGATGTGTTGGTTAGGAAGTCGGAGTATGTTCCGTTTACCTCTCGAAAAGAAAAAAAACATGTTCCTAACGCTTTGTACACTCACTAGACACCATGGAATTTGCAATTACCTACATAATGTCAACATCCACGCAACAAGAAGAGCTATCTCCGGACCTCGCCATTTGTAATTTGTATATGCTAATAATATTGTATTTTTGATAATTTCAATGTACGATACTGCATGAAGGTAAAAGACATGTCTTGTGAAAACGGTTAATCCCTATGTAATGGTTTCAAACGTGGGAAAAAATAAAAGTTATATATATATATATTACGTCTCATAAATAATTATTTATATAATTAAAGGCATTATAATTTATACTATAATATATTATATATAATTATTATCCAAAAAAATTTTCATTATTTTTAATAACATAAAAAAAAACATTTTGTACATAATGTATAAATGTATAATAATAATATAATATAAAATATTAAAGAACGCGTTAAGTGTTTAACAAAAATATTAATCTAAATTATTTCATAAAACTTTGCTGAACATATCTATTGTAGATTTTTTTAAATTGCTTTTCGTTCACTTTATTTTTATTCTTTTTCGTTTTTTTTAAATAGTTTAAATACAGAAAATGGCAGTTAATACTACATTCGAATTGGAACGTTTCTTCGTTGTTCTCTTGGTTTATCCAAGTACTCACCACTCTCGGTGTAGTTTGAATATAACTTATCACGCTATTGTAAACTGAATATGTTATTCCGTCCAAGTATACTTCCACATCCGAATCTGTTTCTTCGACGAATGCCGAATTGTTTTTGTCTAAATGTTTTCTAAATAAATAATATTACAAATTACAATACAAATATTTAATACTTTAAATTTAATATATACAAATATGCATACGTGTAGCGAATTTTCGAATTCCTATTTCTATTTTATATAATGGTTTAACATTATTAACTATGCATATAGATCAATATTAATTCTTATTTAGATGGGCTATAACAATTTTTTAAAAAATCTCATGGGATTTGACTTGCACTCATCGATTACACACCTGTCACCCAGCATACCTATATCCTCTCTAAATTATAGTACAAGAAAATAGATATTCAGAAATCATGTTTAGTTAATTTGATATAAACTTTTTTGGATATTTTGTCTACATTATGTTGCGGGTAAATGAGTTTATTTATGTACCTATATAGAATCTTAGCTTATAACTAAATGGATGCTTATAATATATATATATAAGAACCTATTTAAATACCTAATAAACAATGTAGGTAATTTATAACAAGTATCTATTAAAAGTTACAAATCATATATTTAAAAAAAAAAATCCAACACTAAAATCTAGTAGGAATGATCGAATACAACGTCATCACAACTCACAAGTTCTGAACTGTAGTTTGAAACAAAATGTTCCGATCGGCTCGGAAAAGTTTTACTCGTTCAGTGTGTGCCCAGTCTAATAACGATCATTTTACATGCGTATATTTAATAAGAATCTTGCATACCTTCTAATAATAGGAGTGTAAAAAGTACAGCAGGGAATTTAAAATTTTTATGTAAGGGAGAGGATATGCATTTTTTTATATACCTCTTTATAAGTATCGAGTTATATAATATGCACTATATTATCAAACTATCAAAGGTTTTATATTTTTTTCTAAAAACAAAAAAATTATCAGGTCCCTCCCCTTTCGAATATTTGCCGACTGCCACTGAGTAATAATTGTATTGTTACTTGCCTGGAATTTAGCACGAAATTTGTGCAGGGCGTTTCGTCGTCATTACTAGGTCCGCCGTTCGCATAACGCTGTCGTCGGTGCTCGTAATCCTCGTCGTGGTATTCGTCATCATTGATATCGCTCCAGCCAAAGGATCTGCTGCAATCGCGGTACTTCGAGAACCATTCGAAGGTGTCGGGCTCTAGCAGCGCCTCCAATCGCGAGTCCGGCAGTCCCAGGGTGCTGGCAAAAAACGTTTTGCACACCTTCACCTTAATGTCGTTATCGTCGCCGTCGTCGTCGCCGTCGTTAACATCCAGCCAAAACTCGGCGGTCTGCTCGATGATGTCTTCGTCCGTGTCCACTGTCCGATGATTGAGCTCGACGCACGCACACAAGTACAGGTTTTGCGCAACGCGCGTTTCTGGCACGTTGCGAAACGCGTCATATGCCACACGACGACTTGCCTCAGGTACCGCTACCGAGCACTCGAGATCGCAGTCCTCGTCACACTTAGCGTCTAACATTTCATCGTACGACGCCACCAGGCTCGCGTCGAACAGTACCCGATCCGGCGCGCCTTCGGAGTAATAACGATTCGTATAATTATATTATATTAATATAATTTTATCATATTTACAACAGTATAATAATATAACATAAACATAGAAGTGATATATATTGACTATATTTGCATAGTTATAGTTATTATCGTCAATCAAAAAAATAAGTGAATAAAAAGAATAACCGCTCTTTAATATTCACGAATAATAATAATAATAATGAATAATGATATAACATACAATAATAAATAATAAATAGGTTCAATTACAGGCTTTATTTAAATTTTTTTTTTTTCAAAAATAATTAAATGGCGTCCCAATAGTCCCAGATGTTTTTGATCTCAAATAAGAATATAGTTATATATTTTAGTGTTATAAAGAACTACCTATATCTTATAAATTATTTTCTAAACATTATTATGATATATCTTAGTTAAAAAATAATACAACGAATAATAAATATTTTAAAGCTTATAGATGATTACACAGATTTTAAATATTTTGTGTAAATTAAAAAAGTTTAATAGTACGTAACGATTTTTTTATTTTTTTATTATTCAAAAAATACTAATCGGAGAAGTTCTAATCATAATCCCATTGTAACAGAAATTATCATTCATATGTGTTATATTATTACATTTTCAAAATATTGAGAATTATTTTAAGCTATTTATACCAACAATCTATTCACATTGTTTTTTTATTATAATATGTGCCAATTATGCGGATAGTATTGACTTCGTTATTAACAATTTAATATTAAAACAATAATATATTATATATGTGTACATAATAAATGCGATGGTTTTTGCAAAAAAATATTTTAACATTCTTGTATAGAATCAATAAATCAGATGATAGAATAATAAATTATTTAAACTCTTATTTATATATATAGATACATATAAACATATTATACAAATAAAAACTAATACACTGTTATTGTTCAAAGTTTTTATTCGTATGCAACGATAAATTGGTTAGTGAGTTTTTATTGAAATCATTAAATACAAATTTAACACGTCCATATTACAGTAACCTATTAAATAATGACGTGTGGACCATGTGGTATAATAGTTATTCGAAAACTTCAATATTATATATTATAAACAGAATACTAAAAATCGACTGTCCGATTTATTTTACTTGTACTCCTTTAATAATATATTACAACATTAAAAATTATATATTTATTGATCTGTGATTAGCAATACTATCATGATAATTGCAGATATTAGTACATATAAATTATATACGAAAAAATAAATAAATATGTATCATAAAATATTATAAAATTAAATTCTTACTCGTGAAATCAAATTTTAGTGCTTCTTGCATGATAGTCTGCAACAGTAATCTGTATAAACTATAAACTCAAAAATACAGGATTATTATGTAACTGTTTGAAATGTACATATTATATTTAGTAGATATAGAAAAAGAAATAAATTATGAATTTTTAACATAGATGTCTCTCTTAAATAATATGAACCACAGATACAGAATATACGTCTCATTCAATCAGATGTGACGTTTCAAAATGTTTAAGATAATATCTATTTGTGTATTATACAACACACCTCACATCAAATGAGCTCTACGCTTCCATATTGCAGCCAAGAAGATTTTATTTATGATTTTTCATGGTATGTAATTATTTGTAAGGTACTAAGGTATGCACTAAACTATATAATTTAGAATTATGAAAACTCAGTACATTATACACACATCTGGTCGCAAATTTGTACAAAAATCCCATCAAAAAATCGCATTTAGTTTTTTTCGAATTGTTTTATTTTCCAGACAAATTTCTAATTTTTCTTTCTCTAAAAACCTGATTTGTATTATTACGAATAAATTTAAAATAAATAAGCCCTATAAGTAGTTGGTTTCATTTTTATTCAAATTTTGCGTTTACCAAGATATTTTCAATTAGGTATGTACATAATATATTATAATATAAATAGATAGACATAAAATACGAGTAGATCATGTAAATGATACCTAGTATAGCATGTTACATATTGTATGCTAATTATTGCTAGTTTTAATTATTTTATAAAAGTATTTCAGTAAATCACACCATTATATTCACACTATAACATTAAACATAAGAAAATTACTTACAAAGTACCTTTTGCAGCAAAAATAAATTATTAATAACTAATAGCAGAAATCTTTATTCTGTAGTTAGGTATACCTATCTACTAAGTTAAACCTTGATATTTGTAAGCAATTTCCACTTTTTAAAGTTGAATTATTTATGTCAAAAACATGGAATAAGATATACCGTGACACTGACTATGATCTATTTATTTCAAATATCGATGTCTATGAGTATAAGACATTTTTATTATTAAATATCGATAAATAAGTTTAATATTAATGAGTATTGTCCTTTATTATCTACGGTTACACAATTGCGCTTGTTTTATATTTTTACTAAAAAAAAAAAAAAAAACGCAACTTAATTGCGCTCCATAAAATATGGAGGAAATATGATGTTGTTTTTTTAACAATTTTCCAATATACAATTTAAAATTGTATTTGAATTTCATCTCTCATAATACTATATTACAATAAACTTCTACAAGTTGTACGCCTCTCAGCTGAATCGTTGACAATTCTTAGTTGTTCAATGATAGTTTTTCATTTTTTATATTCACTTGAATTTAACTATTCAGGCGGATGAATATGTAAAAAGTTTTCAATTTTAAAACGCTGAAAAATTTTTGCCGATTTTTGACTTAATAGTGATATTAAAATTTATTTTTCTGCTTAAAAACATTGTTATTTCACTAATTTTTAAGTTCAATTTTTTCACGTGAATTTCGGGATCGTCACATTTGATTTACACAATGCCGTTCTGTATCCTTTGTCCGTGTCCGTTAAAAGGCGTTAACCTACCTTAGTGAATACACGTACGTTTTAAATACCTTGTTTCATTGTTTTTTCGAGTATTTGACTAAAATTATAACATGACTGAAAGTGTAGACGAATCGCTAGAAGATCTAGCAATATTTGCTTTGTTACTGGATGAAGAAGAGAAAAATAATTAAAGAAATAAGAGACAAAAAAAGGATTTGGGTTCATGCGATATATAGAAAAATAAAAAAATTAAAGGCGAATTTACTACTTTTAATGGTGAGTTGGTAGATCATGAAACAAAATTTTTTGAATATTTTCAAACGTCATAGTACTGTTTTAATTTATTATTAAGTAAAATTGAACATGTTATAAAAAAAATGAGACACTTTTTGGATTTTTCATATTTGTGTATAAACCTAAGAAAAACTTTGTGAGATTTTGGATTCAACTTTAATGAATCTTTTGACCAAGTGAATATTTTTTTTATTGGTATTTATCTTATGCCTATTAATAGCTCAAAAAGTGTCAAAATATTTTGAAAACTATACCATACATTTAAAATAATGATAAAAACATTTTGTGAAAATTTGAAGTACATATTTATATTTGCTTTTGAATTACAACAAAAAATAAAAATCGTTAAGGAATAGAAATAATTAATATACGGGCAATAATACAAAATTACAAATGTTTTTTCCTATGAACTTATTAAATTGTAATACGCTTATATATACGCGTGAATTTACGTAGTTCAAAACAAAAAGAATAATATTAGGTGTAATTATTTCTCACAACATTTTTAACGGAACATGGTAAGTACGATTAATTAGAAATTATTTAAAAATATAAACATTCATTTCACATTATTTGTATCTATTGTGTAAGCCAGTTTTAAAAATGGCACATACAAATAAACTTAAGAGTATCAGTAGATAATAGGTATGAATGTATGATGTATGTATCTATTACAAGAAGCATACCCTTAATTATTTGGAGTTTACTGAGTCAGGCGCGAAGAATTATTCTTGAGGGGTGGGGGTGTCAAAATAATAAAATGCCGACTTAAATATTTATTTTACCTACTTGAATTTAATGACACCTTTTTGAAAAACGTCGTTGTATATTAATAATAGACATTAAAACAAGATTATATAATTAATTAGTACACATTTTTGTTGAAAAAATTTTTTAATTTATGACAAATAAAAACAAAACAAAATTAAATTTATTCAAGAGAAACTATCATAGTTTACAAAAAAATCCTATTAAAATTAAAATTTGTAAATAACTAACAAACATATTTAAATTTATAGTACACACTTCTATAAATAAAAAAATTAATAAATTTTTATTCGACGTTTTTTTAATGCAGCCCAATTGGTTATAAGATTTTCCAAATTTAAGTTATCAACGATATCTTTGGCTGAGTTTAAAATCATGAGGTCATCCATTCTATTTGTTGCCATTGTTGTACGAAGATGGTTTTTTATCATTTTTAATTTACTAAATGAACGTTCGTTAGAAGCTGTTGTCACGGGAACTGTAAAAGCTAATCGACAAAGTGAATTTGCTACAGGAACAAGAGTTTTCAATTATTCAGAAACATTCAAAACTTTCTCCAATGTATTTACATGGTCCATTTTATGACGAAGTATGTTTATTTAACATAATATAGCATCGTAATCAGTTACCAATGAAGCTTCATATGAAGGGGGAAATAATCCACAAGCTTTTTCGACATCTTCATTTGCAATATCATTTTTTTATTTAAAATAAAATATAAGCTTAATATTTTAAATATTGGTTCAACTATTTTAAAACAATCTCTTAAATTATTAGCAGATTCATTAATTAACGTGTCCAATACCTCTTTAAATTCTTTTCTATAAAATGTTTGTAAATTAAATATTGCTTGTGTAGGAGAATTACAGTCAATTTTTTTTTTTTTGGTAAATTTCGTTGTCTGTGAAACCTATGAAAATCTGCATTAGAATCAACGCCAAGTTTTTTAGCAAATATTTCAGCACTGGTTATAATATTATTAATTTGAGACTCATCTTCATTTATTTCTTTTAAGGATTTTATACTAGACTCTATTAACAGAATAGCATCGATAATACTTGAGTTGTCTGTTTCGAGTTGTTCAGTTAAAACTTTTATTTGATACATAATATGTTTCATTAAATAAATACATACTATAAAATCAAATGATAGCATTTTTTTTTCGAGACCTAAGGCTCGAGCTCGTGTTTTATTGTCAATATTTTTATCATTAATTAATTCTTTCAATACGTCTAGTTTATATTCAAATAAAATCCAAACAGCCTTAATTGATTCTGCACGCGCAGTCCACCGTGTCATCGATAAATTACGTAATTTTAATTTGATATCGACTTCTAATAATTTATTGTTTAAATAAAAATAACGCTTACACTCTGTCTCAAAGTAGAATACACCGGTTTCGCGCATCGCGACTGACGGTCGCGGAAGCTCGTTGCCCGATTTTCTCCCACTATGCGGCGAAATTGACAGCAGATGCGCGGCACCAAACTTAAACCGGTCAGCCGCCTGGTGTATTCTGAGACGGAGTATAGTACTTGAAGTAAAAAAAACATATAAACTTTCTAATACTGAAAAAAAAATGACTGACTGTGGTGCTAGCGGAACAGCAATGTATTTTTCTTTTTCAAAATCACTCATTATAAAATAAATTAGCTAATTTAAAAATGAGTACTTTATAGTAAGTAGCTACTAGCTAGGAAATAGTTCACCACAATAATAATATGCTTTGAACTGTGTGTCGGGCCCGAATGCCCGATCGATTAATAAATGATAAAAAATTTACAATAATGTACACAGTAGTATACATGGCCTATTAATAAATATATTTATAATATACTATTCACAACAACACATGGACCATTTTAAATGTTAAATGGTAATTCCTAATCGCATATGACAATTTCTTATCTGCACAGATACGAAAATACTATAAATAATTTACATCGACAAGTTTTTGTATTTTTTATCTTATAAAAAACAATTTGACGATCTCTACTTAAATCGTAATTGTGCCGACTCGATACAGTCAAATTTTCCGAGCGGGGGAGGGGGGTATGACATCCCCTAGACCCCCCTCTAACGCCGGCCCTGAGAGCATCCAAAACGATTTCTTTAAAATGTCGTTTTATTGTTATTTTCACTCCACGATATTATTACATAAATAATATTGCCAATGTGGCAATGTCGACGGGCTAACAAATAAAATAATCTATAAATATAATCGTGGACAGTCATTCAATTTATTCCATTATAAAGTAATTTAATTTTACAAGAATAAAATTTTTTTCCAAATATAATTTTTATTTTAAATTTTTTTATATTGGTGATTTGTTTTTGGACTCATAATGTTTCTTTATGAGCCCTCTAGAGTCACGGGTCTATGACCCATTGCCCGCCATGCCACTCAATGTCTCTATCGTGGTACGCCACTGGTTTTATTACTTAATCAAAAAATTATAGTTATTATACAGACTATAAAAAAAAAAAAAAGCCATGTAGCCATATTTTTGTAATTTACGAAGTCATGGACTTACAAAAAAGAGATTAAATGGATCTATACTTCTATAGTCTTTAATACAAGATTACTAGAATACATTTAGGTACAAATATCTATATAATATATATATATATATTATTAAGATTCTCCAGTGATTACACTTTAACACAAGAGTTAATCTTTATTATCATGTGAAAAAAGGCTTTAATCTTTAAGGACTAAGATCCATTTAACAATTTAAAATGTTCTTACTTCTTGGCGAAATAATATTGTCGTGAAATAACGGTTTGTACGCTAGGCACGTTTTTCATATCCGAGGCCATAATCACGATTCTATCTTAGCCCGTGGCCATATTTGAAGATAAACGCTGGGCACATTTTATAGTAATAACACTAATAACAATACTTACTGCGTTGTGAAACTTATGTATCTTAAATCATGGCTCAGTGTTATATTTTGTAATGTTAGTAAGAATAAAATGTATAATTTTTACTTCATATTTCCTTAGAGGTACCTAGTGGTATTTAAACTTTTTTGAAACATGACACAACAACATTTATTTTTATTTTGGTTAGGTATCTTAAAGTGTATCTAAATTTATTTTTATATTTTTACTATTAATTATTTTTATGTATTATAATTTGTCACAATTTTTAAGACTTTTTCCTGGTCATTATTTAATTTTTCAAACTAAATCTCGCGGCAAATCTAGAGAATGTTTGCGGCACTTAGATAACTTGAAAATCACTATGGCACAGAATAATTACCTACCATGATATCGTCAATGATAATATTGTTTGCTAATTGATTACACTGTTTTTTTACTGAACATTAATTTGTGTTTTATTGATAAGAATAGTACATAATATTTTATTATTATTTATTTGTAGCGGCTACTATTAAAGAACTATAGTTCGTTACTATAGTACAGTAATCAGTATTTAAAGTAATAACTCTGAAGTTAAGAGTGGTAAGTACTCTTTATTGCTAATTAACTGATCAGATTAATAATGATCTTGATTCTACTTTATAATTTATACCTATGCGAATTGAAATTGTTGTAAATGCTAGGTGTATAATTTTTATTTTTTTTAATAAGTACCTATAAAATAGTTCATACCATTGCCATGGAAAATCGTTGTTGTATTTTGGGATGTTTGATGACTTCTGATGATGGAGTTAAATTACACGAGTATACATACTTTTAGTTGAATGTTTAACAGTAATAATTAAAACATTGTGTATAATTTTATAGATTCCCATTCGATAATCAGTCGTTATTGCCCATTTGGATAATGGCAACAAACCGTTCAGATTGGTTACCGATTGCAAAAAGTAGGATATGTGAAAAACACTTTAGTATTGATGATTATGAAGCTGGTGATAAGAGTAATATGCTTAAACCAAATGCTTGTCCCATGATCAATACAAACAATGTAAGTAAATATAATAAAGTGTAAAAATAATGAGTATGTTATGAATTACAGAAAATGTTCAAGAGTATGTATTTGTGTGTAGAGTGTTATAGAAACTAAGACATTAACAGATTCTGAATATGGTGATTTTTCATCTATCAGTGATTTCAACTGTTCTGATATTAATTCTGACGATTTACCAGATACACCAAATACTAGCGATCTGAAATTCAGTGATGATAATTCAATTCTAAGTACATCATCTTGCAGTTTTTATACTGTAAGATTATTTTATTAAAATTTATAATTTTCAATTACTAAAATTAATAGCTATGAGAATTATTTTTTTTTTTTTAGAATTCAAATGAAGCTACAGGATTTGATGAAGATTTTCTATCATCACTTTCCGATACTGAACCAGATAACATAGATTATGAAGAGTCAATGCAAGAATTTGACTCTGTTTCATTATCTTCATCTATAACAAGTTTTGTGAGCGTTGGTTTTGTTATTTTATTATTTAAGTAAGTATCTTATAATATTTTTAATTTTTTAGACAAACCAGCCAATGAACCAAGAATGTGCGGTTGTATTATGTAATCAAAATGCAAGAAACCAGTTTGATAGATTATTTTTTATCAACTTTCCAAATGATAATAAAGAACTTTGTGATCTCTGGTGGAAAACTTGTGGGCGCAAAGACAAATTTGATCCTTTGTCAAAAATATGCTCAATTCATTTTGATCCTGATGATTTTACATCTGTAACTATTAGACGAGAAGGTCAACTTTTTAGACAAACTATTATGAAGAATAATAATACTGTACCAACTCTTTATCTAGAGTCACATGAGTATTTAAAGTTTACAAGAAAACGAAGAAGAAGCGTGAATAATAGTTCTAGTATGTTTAATTAAATTAAAGGTTAACATAAATTTATATTTATTGTTATTTATATTTCAGAAAAAAATGATTTAGAAGCAGATACGCAAAAGAATTCAACAGAAAATGAATTCTGTATTATTCAAGGTTGTGATAAGACATTTTTAAAAGATGGAAAAAAGACATTGTTTTTTAAGTAAAATAGTTATTTTTATTATTTTTAAAAATTAAATAAAATTGTTAAAAACTACAAAATAATAGAAATAGTATGTAATGGTATAATTTAATAGTATACATATTATCTGACATACTGACATAGTCACTTTTTTCTTAACTCTTCAACTCAATAACAAACTGTACAATGCATGTATTGATTCACATAAAAATGCATCGAAGTTAAACTCATAGTAGTATCAGTAGCTTATTTGAGTGTGCATCAGTATGATATATATAATGGTTCAAATCTCACATTATGTATAATTTTTCATTTATATTTTGAAATACATTGCTCTCTGAAATGAAATGGGAAATCCAAAAAAAAAAAAAACAAATATGAAATAAATTACATAAACTTCATATTTAAAAATACTGCATTTAATTTTAATAATTGATTTATTTTATTAATTTTCTTTATTATATTATATTATATTTAATATGTAATCAAAAAATTCTATACTATTTTAACATAATAAAAATGAAAAAAATGTATGCAAATTAGGACTAGTTGATTTTAGTGAATGATAATTGTAGTACGCCAGTTACATAAAATTTACTTTATAAAAATACATTTATTATTTCTAAGATTCTCAAATTAGGTAAATAAAACAAATATAATTCCTTATTATTTATTTGTTGCTTTTATTCTATAGGTTTTTTTCTTATGGGATTTTATTTCTGCCCAATGGTGATGAGACTAGGTCATATATAGCCAATTACTATATTCTAAAATGTTTATAATTTGTTATAACTTTTAGATTTCCATTGGAAAATCAAATTATGCTCAAAAAATGGATAAATAGTATTGGATTACCTAATTGGCAGCCAACAGTTACAGATCGAATTTGTTCTGATCATTTTGAAAATAATGATGTCTTAAAAATTAATGGTGTTTATAGTCTGAATAATGATGCCATTCCATCAACTAAACCACAAGTATGGATACAATTATAAGATAACAAAAATGTTATTAATAATTTAATCATTAAAGAATTTTTTTTAATATTTTGTAGAATTCATTTGTATTGAGTTTTGAAGACAATCGTGATAAAAAATTTAAATCCTCAGTTAACAACAGAAATATTGATTTTGTTTTCAATAATTTAGAATTTGATTATTTAAAAGATGACGACGTTTTAATAGTTAAAGATAATACTACAGAATTAAAAAATGAAAGTAAATTAGATGACCAAGAACAAGAAAATCATGAAAAAATCTTTAAAACATCTACATCCCAATCTAGTTCAGCTAAAATAAATGACAATAAAGGTAATTAAAATAATGTATATTAATAATCACATATAATTCAAAGAAGTTATAAATTCATATCATATACTTAATTGAATTATAAGATTAAATACAAGTAACTAATTAATAAATTTCATTTTAGGTATTTTAATATTAAAATTGCCTTTTTTTTCATTCTTATGTTTGTTACTAAAATTTCTTATTAACTCATAATCTATTATATTGTTTATTTAATAATATGAAGTAGAATACTTGTATAAATATTTTCAATTTCTGGAGTATACATTTTAAATATGACTAATAATGTTTTTATTATTATTAAGAATTTAAATATTTAATTTAATGTGATTGAATAGTACACTACATATTTCTTAAAGGTTACTTTACTATTTTTATCATAACTTGTTAAAAATAAAAAAACCATTTGTTTAGGATATTAATATTTATGGCCTAACAAATAACATTAAAAAAAATTATTGTATGTTAATCATTAAACATAAGGATGTAAAAATATAAAGACAATCTGTCAACATAGATTATTAAAATAATGAATAGTTTGCTTAGATATATATATTTAAAAAAATAATTTTATTAATAGTAAATACTTATTAAAATAATAAATGTTTCTTTTTAAAAGAATCAACTTTTTTATACTAAAAATAATTTCTCATCAATAAAAAAAATCATCATTTTTCAGAAACTTTTAATAAATCCAATTGTGGTGATATTTTGAATATTAATTATATACTAGGAAGACAGTATATACATAAAAATGTAGGGAGCTCAATTAATACATGTATAAAACCATATGAAGAAGAAATCACCAAAGGTATTCCTTATAGTTTATTTTCATGATACATAATATATAATTTTTGATTTATTTGATAGTTATAGAGTAAAATATAGTGATACAATTTTATCCTCAGAACTAAAAATTTTTTTTGTAAAATTTATAAATTTGATTATAAAGAGAAGAAGAACAAACTAAAAATCACTCAATCATAGATATACAAAGTATACATTTATTATATTTTCAGGCATTATTTTACGCTTCGGTTCCAAACTAATTCAAATATTTCAGTCAAAAACAATAACTAAAAAAGTATATCTGTATATGATAAAATTTGTAAAAGTATTTCAAGTAATTTGAATAAATATAAAAACATATACTAATAATAATAAAATAATAACTTTATTGCAAAGTATTTACATATTTTTAATTTACTCCCTGTTTTGCATATTATAAATATAATTACTAAAGGGCATTATTTATCTTCTGTTGTATACTCTTATAAAGTTACTAAGTATTTTAGATGCATAAACCTGTTAAACTATTGTATATCATAAATAATATATAATTAATATTTTAATGTATATTCATAGTATATATATTTTATGTAAAAAGTCTATCATAATTTATAAATTGTATATTATCTCATTTATCTTCACTGAGTTTTAATAGTATGAGAGAGTGAGAAGATATTACATTTTATAACTATTGTAAATATATGATTTCAAATAGAAATAATTTAAATCTATGTTGGCTTACATTTCTTCAAAAATATTGAAGGGTATTTGTATTTTCTTTTATTTAGGGAAAATATTGAGAAAATATGTACTTTTTTTTTTTAAACCAGTCGGAAATCATTCACAAAATTTAAAGAAGCTAAATGAAAAATTTTGAACTTTTATTCTACCTATAAATATGTTCATAAAATAGTTTAAATAATAAAATTAAAATAATAATAAATTTATACATCAATACAAATCAATATATACTACTGTTTCACTCAAAATCTAACATTTTATTATGTTTAATTTGATATACATTTCAGAAAAAAAGATAAAAGATGAAAATTCAGCCAATATTGACTTGGAGTATGTTTATATGGACGTATTGAACTGTAAAAATTTGATAAAAGAACAACCAACAATTGAAACAAACAATAGTGTAAAAGGTAACTTTTTTTGATGTAATTACTAATTATTATATTTTTGGTACTCGTCCAATATGCTATCTACCTCACGTTTAATGGTTTAGTATGCTATCTACCGTAATTTTGAATTATGTGTCGATATAAATAACTCATAGTAAAACCACATATATAATCGACACGAGTCACAAACACATACTAAACAGGTATAATATAAAGGTATACCTACTAACCTACCTAACTTACTAAGGTATAAAATATAAATATAATATGATTGGGTTTTAAATAAAAACTTAATTGCAAAATTATAAAGTATACGGACATACAGTAGATATCATACTAAACTATAATAAAATTACAGTAGATAAAATATTTAAGGTAGATAGCATATTGGATGAGTACCATATTTTTAAATAAATATTCATTGATTTATTATTATAATTAAATGTTTATATGATTTATAATTAAACTATGTGATAAAGATCAAATTTTAACAGATAATTTGTCATCAAAAATAATAATTAAAAAACCATGTATATGTAACTATCCCGTTAAATTGAAACATAAAAAAAAATACTATATACTTATGGTATTCCTAATAGAAATTGTAGGAATTGCATATTGTTCTGTATACACTCAATTTATAGCAGACCAAGATAGAAATCTGATATGTATAATGGAGAGTTAAAAAATTGTAAATTTAAAATGCATATTTTGCATTTTTTATTAATTTTAGCTAAAAAATGTGTATATTTCATTGATTTTATACGCACATTATAAATATTTCATATTTTTTTAAGAAAATTGATTTTTTTCTTTCTTAACCTGTATATTTTAATTAATATTGAATATAAAACTAAACATTTTCATTTAAGCTATTTATTGTAATTTCAAAAATACTGAAGAAATATTTTTAATTATATTTTTAGCTCAAAAGATGTCAAAATGCCAACCAGTTGTAAATTGTTTTCAGTTATAAAAAATTTTATATTTATTATTACTTTATTAATTTATTAACAACATCTGATGTATTTTTTTTTATTTTTTGGAATTCAGAATAATTTTTTTACATATTTAATATCATTTTAATGCATATTTTGTAATTTTTTCATGCATATTTTGCCTTTTTTAGCTCCTAAAATTTTCAAACTCTACTTATAAAAAATATTTACACTACTCCCTTCAAAAAATTGTTTCTTTGAACAAATGCATAATAACTACTTAACATTATATATTGTTAACATTATTGATCTTTCTAAATAAAAATAATAACAATGTTAATAATGATATGTTTAATTTAAATTAAATAATATGTTTTAATAATTATTCATTAAGTGTTGACAGATGAATGTAATCAAACTAAATTAGTATACAAATCAAACAACTATAATTTTAAAAATGTATCTACTAATGTTTCAAATGTTACTACTATATCAAAAAATATATTTAATTCAACTGAAGTTAAGAAATCATATGGAGAATCAATTAGTGACGATGATTCTGATGGTAATTTTTTTAATTTACTTGTGTTTTTCCTTAAAATGCTGCTTTCATACAATCAAATATAGTATATTCATATTGCTTAAACAGGGAAAAAAATTATAATTCAACATTTAACACAAAAAAATAAATATTTTCTTATGTTTTTTTTTTATTTATTGTTCTATCAAAATTAAATCAATTAATTTTTTAAATATTATTTTTTAGTTATAATAGAAAAAAAAAGGATTCCAAAATCAATAAATAATGGAAATGTCTGCGATTATTTTTACTTAGACACATTGGATGAAGAAGAAGCTAAAAATGTTTTGTCATTTGAAAATAAGTGTGCTTCAAAAAATCCAAGTCCAAAAATTTTGAAATTATTAAAAAAAAAAAATACATTTGGTAAGGACAACAATTTAATTTAAAATCTATAATCAGTATAAGCTCATTCATAAAATATTTTATCTTAGTGAAATCTGCAAATTAATTTTAATTATAAACATGATTTAAGCATAATTGCTGTTTTAGATTTAAAATGAAGTAATGAATGTATCGTTTTTATAATATGTATTTTATTTTTTTATGCCTGTCCTTAGCTTTTAGGGCAATAAAATTACTTTGATTTTCAACTTTGAATATAGTTTCTGGTAGCAAATCAGATCTAGTTGATCTTTTAGGGTAGGAAGAGGGGGTCCGAGGTAAAAAGTAAATTGTTTTTTATTGGCATTTTTCTAAAAGAAATTTCAAATAACTATAGACACTTAAATGTTACCTAAAATTGTTGTTAAAATTTTCAATTTTTGACTTTATAAGCTATATGTATGGACACTTATTAGTTATTATTTTTTATTTTTTTAAATTTATTTTTACAAATGTTCCTTAAAAATATTCTCTAGTAAAAATGCTAAGATCTGGTACATTTTGAAATTATTTTAATTAAAAATTCATAGGTTTTTCTTTTTTTATCCAAGATTTTAAAATATAATTCAAGGTTTATTATTATTATTATTATTTTATAAGTTTTTCAGCCTAAATTAAAAAAATTATAAATTGGTTTGTAGTTAAAAATGTATAAGCTATTCAATTTCTATAACAAATAAAAAAAATTTGAAACAAAATATCGTAAGTAATTCATACTGTAATCAATAAAACTTAAAAATATAATATTCACATTGTATTATATAATTAGGTTTTTTTTTGTAGACATTTTAAGTTCAAATTTTGACAAAATAAGGTATTTAAACAAAGAATAATAATTTTAGTTATCTTGTTCTAATTAAAAAAAAAAATTTTGCAGCACTTTTTTGGTATTTGAAACATTAAACTATATATTATTATATTTTTACAAACAATATCACAATGACATTTTAAAATATTTGATTTAATTTTATATTATTTCTTTTTTATTGGACATACCTTATTCATATTATTCTGTATTAAATCGGTAATACTAACTCAATTTTATTGGCTTAAAAATAAATAAAAATAATATATAATTTAAATATATACTAAATAATTTTATAATAAATACAATGTTTACTTCAAAAATTAATTTAAATGACCGCTTTTTTAATATTAAAATAAATTATTATAATTATCATTTTATTATAAAATATACTTAGTAATTTAGACCAACAAACCATCTTTACTTAGAATCGATTCTATATGCTTTAACTTATCATTGAATTTAACATATACATTTCAGTGACTTACTCTCATTTATTAAATGATAATAACTATAGCTATATGAAACATAATATTAACTTCTTATGGATAAATTTTCTTTACAATATAATTTTTCAACCATCATATATTTAAATGACTACGTGTATGTTCATTTATCATTGCTATAAATTTTATTATACTTACTATAGAAAAGAAATTACATTTAATGGACACATTTTCAATGTTTATTATTTTTCTAGGAATTCCAGAATCTATAATTTATAATCAAGACTTAATAGAATGTTATGGTGAAATGCTTCCACCTTATTGTGACCAGGACTGTCAATTTATATGTTATTATTCTATACCTGGCCCTGAACGAAGACAAATTTATAAAGAATTTCAGATGTTACATAATGCAACTGAACAGAACTGTAAAATAACTCAATTAGTACAATTGCGTATGGCTAAAAAGAGTGATAACACTTTTGAAAGTTGTCCAATATATCATTTTATCAGAAATAAAAAATCTATAAAGGTGTGCAGAACTTTTTTTATGAACACATTAGGTATTACTGAACGTCGTCTTGATGCCATTCTAAAATCAACTAATTACAGTTGGTATTCTGATAGAGATACTGCGTTAAAAGCCAACCAACCTAAACAAGTACATGTAATTAATGAACCAATTTTGATGACAGATTTTATGAAAGAATCTTTAAAACCATTGGACAAAGACTACAATTTATATGAATCTGAAAGTGACTCAGAAGTTAGTTTGGAAGATGTTCCTTTTAAGGAATATGAACAAGTATTTCTATACATGAAAGGTATCCCTAGGGTTTTGAGTTCATATCAAATGCCTGGAACATTTAAAAAACATTTCTTTGAAACCAGTATTTGTTTGGAATATATGTACAAGTCATATTCTGAAGATTTTATTAAGAACAAAACTCCACCACCTTATACAAAACGTCAGTTTAAAAAAATTTACAACCAGTACATGAAGACATTTTTAAAAATAGTTTAAATCCACATCATATTTTATTATTGGGTATAAACTTTAAAATAAAATGTTATTGGTACTTTAAGGTATTATATTATTTAAAATTATGAATGTAACATCTATACAATTCTATTTTTGAAAAATAACCTTACTATGTTTTTTTTTTTTTTTATTAAATAAGTTATTATTTACTGTTTAGTATTTCAATAGATCTCTTATTATCTAATTATTTATAAATAGTAATCAGTGTATAACATTAGAATAAATTTAGATATAATATAATTTTATTAGTATATTTGATTAAGAGATCGTTGTAACCTGCACATGTTGTCTCCTACTTACTAGAACACATGGTATTGAAAAGTGTTATCATTAGAATAATCCATTTAACTTGGTTGTTTTTAAAATTAGATTGAATTTATCTATTAAGAAACTTATGTAAGAATATTATCTAGAGTCACAGTAATAAAATGTACATAATTATCTTTAAAATTAAAATATCTAGAAATAACGTATACATGTTACCACATAGACACTAGTCTTACTTTTAATATATTTATAAATAGATTAACTTTAATATAAAAAAATAATGAAGTCAAAAGGATTATTCTTAGCCTACAATTTGATATACTGTGCGTTAGTAAAATGGAAACAACACAATTATTTTATAATATTTTTATATTTTCTTTTATATTCTACACAAAAAACTGAAAAAATTGTCTGATCTTATTTTTTAATAATATATGTGGCGTTTTTTCAAATTAAAAGTATAATTATTGCTTACCTATTATCTTATAATCTATTACCATAAGTAAATACTTGGTGTACTCTTGCAGTTTTTTATTAATTACAATTGTATGTATACAATTAAAAAGATGATATTGATTGTTGTTAAAATTTATGATTTTTAAGGCATTTTTTTTATACAATATTAATTATGATGCTGGACACTTAGTAATGCAATGAAAAAAAAAATAAATTCTATAATTTGGCTGAGAAAATTTTTTATTGGGAAGCACTTTAAATCTTTTTTAAACCTAGGACTCAATTTATCTTAAATCTATTCAAATTCAGTTCTCAGTTTACTATAAAAAAAAGTGTTTCAGATTCAATTTACCTAGCCTCATTAAATAAGATAGCAACAATGCAGGTTAACCACAAACAAGGATATTGCTGACAAAGGTGTATAGTGTATTCCAATCATTAAATAGCTTAAACTAAATTTAGTACAGAAGGAAAATTATCTATACAGGATTTCGATAATGTTTCTGACATTTTACTCCTTGGAAAATTTCTGTTAGATAAGTCTTTAATTTTTTATTTAAAAAAACAATTCAAATAAAATTACTAGGAACTGGTATGCTCCTCAATAGTCAGGACATCTATAGTTGGTACTTCAATTTGATACACCAAAAAAATTTGATTCACCTAAACCTCAATTGGTCAACCCTTTCTTTAACACTACAGGAAATATTAACTTACTCATAGGCAGAGGAATTATTTTCGAATTATTGGAACCAAAAAGAGTTCAACTTCAATCACAAAATGCTTGTCTACAAGATACAAATTTTTCTAGCTATAAACACTAAAGGTAAAGTTGCGAAAGTGATTTTAAAGGTCTATGCTAGGATAAACCTCTGCAGATATATGAATCTGTATCCAAGTCTAATAAGTAAAGCATAGATAAGCAAGAGACCTTGAATCATTTTACAGACATAGAAAACGAAACAGAATCGGTAGATCTATTTTACAATTAGCATAGATGGCATACGATAGGAAAAATAGAAATAGCAACAGCAAGATTTCTCAGTCATACGGAGATTTCAGCGAGATCTAGAACTACGACTTAAATATACACAATTTATGGAATAGTATTTAAAAATGAGAAACACAAAAGAAGTGAGCAAGTAAGAGAACCATCCAAGTGCGACATTTTATTTTCCACACTGAATAATCTTATTATGTGGTCTGTTAATTATTATTTATGGTGATGTTCAATATACGTTTGAAATAATCAAAATTTAATAAGTCATTTGCCTAATTTTCTAAGAAATTTAAAAAATTTTAAAATGTATCCCAATTTGTTTGTATTGTTGATGGATAATCCGCGAAAGCGAATTGTTAACTGACCTTAAAGTCGCAACGGCATCAGTCGGCGAAGTCACTCTAGTAACTTTCGCGAAGGTGGCTTAACCATCAATGGCCCCATAGAAATTACTGCAACACGTCATAAAGACCTGTGTGCGATCTGACAAGATAGCACATTGGAAACAGTTGGTGAAGTCGGTGAAGACGATTTTACAACCAAACTCGTAGACGTATTCGCAAGTCGCAATACATCGTAAAGACTTACGTTTAGGCATGACCGACACATTCGAAACAGTTGGCGTCGTTGGCGAATGTGATTTTACAGCCAAACCGGTAGATGTATCCGAAACACCGTAAGGCCTATGTGTGATCTGACAAAATGGTACATTGGAAACAGTTGGCGTCGTCGGCGAAGGCGATTTTACATCCGAATTCGTTGACGTATTCGCAACATGCCATAAAGGCCTTTTACTATTTCATCGTGACAGGGCACGAATACACGATGACACAGTAAAAGCTGTATGTGGAGGCGTCTCGTCATGAGTAACATTATAAGAGTATAAGACCGCAACATAAAAGATCTTGAACGCAATAACGTAATAAATTTAGATAAATATATTGTACAGCAAAGAACAATGTGTTAGTATAAATTACTAATTAGTAATGAACACGTAACTAAAACACTTTGTTTAAAAATAATGTTTTTTTGTATTTAGTTACCTACCATAGTGATAATATTAACTATTAAGTTATTTTGAGTTTATTTATTTTAAATAAGAACATTTTATAATAGTACCTAATTGTTATGTTAAATTATAGTAAGTAATAATAATCTAACAATCTTTATGGCTTGTAAAAATTGTCCAAGTATAATATTGAATAGACCATATTTGATATGTATTTTATTTTAATTATGTAGACTTCTTAACCTGAATATTACGAACAACTGTAAATTATATCGTTAGGTATTTAAAATGTTTAATTTTTATACATAAAGTTTAAAATTTTAATACAAAGTTGCTCATAATTCATAAGTAGTTCATATTGAAACAGAAAAATATTACAAATAACTAATATCAGTATTTTTTTTTTTTTCTAACAGACATTCGAAGTTTAAATTTAAGCGAAAAATAATATTTAAGTGACGATTTAGGAGATAAGTGATTTTTTTATAATTGAAAAACATTATTATTATTTATAAGGATTTAAAATTTTTATTTACTATTTAAATATTTAAATGTGTGTTATAAATTGTATAAAATGTGAACTATTATCGTGCACTGTCTCGCCAACCGCGAGTATAATATTTTAACATTAATTGTAACATTTTGTAACACGGTCGTTGTCTTCTTTTGGTACCTACTGGCTATTGTAGTACTGTATGTCTGTATGTTGCGCGGTAGTATTAGCGCGCGCTAATAATACCTACCTATTTTAGAATATTGTTTGTTTTTACTCAAGTAGCAAAACTATTATTTTTTATCATTGTGAGCCATATGAGAGGCGTAAATTCTATATACTTATATTAGTTATATTGTAATTCGTATCTTTGTCAAGCATTTTTTTATAATATTATTTATGCTATCGAGCAGGGGTGCCAAACATGAATAGGTTCACTGGCCACATGGACAAATACAATGATACCAAGAGCCAAAATGTTTGTAGATACATTTTATTTTAATTTGATAATTTTTTATAATCTAATATGTATTTTGATATTATATATAAAACGCGAGCCGCAAGTTAGTCACTTATGGTATGGACGACATAGAGTCCCTATAAGAGTTATAGGACCAGCTAGTCCGTCTGCTCTAGTGCTCTCCACAAATTGTGAATTATTTTTTATAAACTATTGTTGTTTATTTTTTTTTTTTTACACTATACAGCCGTAGATTTTATTTTTAACAGTTTAAATAACTTGTTATTTGTTACATTATGAAATATTGAATTATATTCATCGATTTAATCATGAGGATTTTTTCTTAATAGGTACTAATTACTATTATAGTAAGTATTATAAACTACTAGCAGACCCTTCACGGCTTCGCTCGTGATTAGTTGTTAATTTTGCCTTCGGACGATGATATATTGGTATATAGAATTTTCTATTCAAATTTTATCGTTTAGTTATGTCGTATTAAGTGTTTGGAATAACCTTTTGAAAAAAAAATGGAAAAAATATTAAATAATGTCGTCAGAAAATTGGAACATTTAAATACAATGCACCCTCTCTCCACCTCCAAACAAAAATAATTAAAAATCGAGTGATATGATGACATTCAGGAGGGTATTTGGAATAAATATGTGAAAAAAATGGATAAAAGATAAATATTGTTGTTACAAAATGAAAACTTATGAATATGCGTAAAAATTCCAATTTTACTTAATTTATTTTATTTTTTTTATTAACAAAAGTGTTACTAAAACTTTATTTTTGATTTTTCTAGTTTTTTTGAAAAAAAAAAATCATGAATAAAAACGCTTTATGGTTTTTATAACTGATTAGTTTCTAAATTAAAATATTTTTATATCCGAGTAAACATTTTACCAAACTGTACCTATTGCAGTGTGTTGTAATCTGTTGCATAGATAATTATTATTATTTTTATTCTATATTTGCCAAATTAACATATTTTATTATTAAAAATAATTATTATTTTTATTCTATATTTGCAATATTAACATATTTTATTATTATAAATTATCATATTTTTATTTTATTATTATAAACTTATAAAATATTGTAATTATCAAAAAAACACTAAATTTTATAATATTATTATTTATTCGAAATGCCATGTAAAATTGTTAAATACACTCACTTGATTACCTACCTTAAATTACAATCGTTTTACTTAATATTCACAGTGTCATCTTCTTCAATTTGGTAAAATGTTTTCTCAGATATAAAAATATTTTAATCTAGAAACTAATCAGCTTCTATTCATGCGTTTTTTTTTTTTTTTTTTTTTTAAATAATAGAAAAATCAAAAATAAAGTTTAAGTTGTACCTAAGTGCATGATAAATAAAGTTAAACTTATAGGTACACGGCATGCAATTCGGACATATCTCTCTAAGAATTGGCATGCAATTCGGACACTACAATTAGTGTTTATTTTTTTGGTATGCAATTCGGACGCACAGTTTTTTTCGATTAACGCGGTCGTAGAAAATCCCTTACAATTTTATATAGTAGTATAAATAGATACAAATTTAGATATTGATTAATACGAATATTTGGTATACATGTTGATGGTGTACGTGCAATAAACTTCTTGGAACAATTCATATCTACATGTCGACATCAAACGGCTATATGACAGAAGCGCCAAATGCACAAAAATGACCTATCAATTGCGCCAAAATGTGTAGGACATAAGTGCCAATATAATATTGTATACCTAACATGTGAAATAAGCGCCAAAGGTGCAAAAATTACAAATAATTTGCGCCAAAATTAAAATTTTATATTTGTCAATAATAAATTATGATATACATGCGATTAAATATAAATTTAATAAATCAGTTGAGAATTTATAAAAAATCCTACTTTTTTTCACATATTCTAAACGATTTATTTCACAATCCTGATATTTCTTCCATTGTGTAATTATTTCTTCGTGAGATACTCTTAATTTATTGTTAGGAAGAGAGTTCATAAATAAATATGTTTCGCTTTGTAATTTTAATAATAAATTTTAAATAATAATTTAACATCTATTAACCGTGGCACACAGGTACCAAGGATTTTGGCACACAGGTACGATACGATTTTGGTGCTTTTGTACGATACGATTTTATTTTTTCTTATCTAATTTTGGCGCTTATGTCTTCCACTGCATCAAACAATACAATTTGACGAACAAAAAAGTCAGGTTACAGGTAGCTGTAAACCCGCGGGCCGCCCGCCATGCCGCACAATACGTATATAATATAGGTAAACAATTTTTTAATTTTTCAAGAACTTTATACTTATTATTTATCGACAAAAGTGCAGGTACTAAAACCTTCTGTAGAGTGTTGGGTATAACAGTAGAAAATTTCAGCCATACCAGTTCAGTAGTTTTCTCGGTTAGCGCTGTCGTAGAAAACCCCTTACAATTTTAATTACAATAGTATAGATTATATTCAACTACTGAATTAACAATGTATTTATAACTTAAATTAATTTTTATTTAAAAAAATCAAGAAATATTATTATTTTTTTCACGGAATTGTGCTCATTTAGTAGATTTTCAAAAGGAAAAACTCCTATGAAATAAATTGTTGCACGTCGGTACTCAACATATAGTTATTACTTATTTCAAACACACGAATACACGACATATCTTTAAAAGTAGTCGTATTCCGCATAGGTATGTAATAATGTAATATTATACTACATTTATGTAAGTTTATTTATATAGGTACGTGCATTTATACTAAATTACACTTGTCACGTACACATATTGACGTATTGTTACAATCGCGTAATTATGTTCTACCTATTGAAGCCAATTTTCTTAATCAACGGTACCCAAGTAGGTATGTTAAAATGTATACTAATATGTCTTGATAAATGATAATAAAGGCATTTAATATATATATATATATATATATATTGTGATTCTGTAATTTGGTTTGTCCTGTATAAATGTATTTTAAATTGTTATCTTATGATTTTCACACTTAACAATTATATTAGTTTTTGATAAGTCTTTATTTTTTGCGTAGAAATTTAAATACAAATAGAGTAGAATAAATAGCAATAAGCAACTCACCAACACGCGGCGTTACAGACTACAGTGTTTTAAAAATTGCAGTATATGCACTTTGACATTGACGTCTAATATTCGTTATGCTGGTAAGTCTACCTTCCTGTGAATACATTGTACTTAAATATTAAATAATTTGTATATAGGTGTGTATTTTGTATAATAAAATATTATATAAGGGTTTTAATGTTTACAATTATTTGAGTAGGAAAGTTATAGGAGGGGCCTAGGAGAGAGTCGTTTTACCTTTGTGTTGTGTATGATGATTAAACGCACCATTTTTAAGTAGCTAACCTCGATAAGACAGTAGAATTTTTTAATGCTGTCTTAGTGTTCTCAGCAATGTAAGTGTTAAATAAATGAAATTTACTATTTTTTAAAAATATTACTGACTAATGATAATGATTGTATAGTTATTTTAATTTATATTTTATGGTGCATACTCTTAATAATACAAGATTATATGTAATGTTATTGAAGTTAAGTACGTAGGAAACGTATTAATGAATAATTAAAGACTAAAGTTTAACTTTTTCAATAATCATACATTAAAATATTTCTTATATTTTCAATGTAATAAGTTTCAAAGTATTTTTATCATAAATTCATAAAGAAACACACCAAATTAGTTGAGATTATAATTAAATAGTAATTTTAATTAATTAATTTTTTTTAAATATTATTAGATAAAAAAAAATGTGCACAGTCGGTAATGAACTTTAGACAAAATAGGTAAAATAGTATACACATTGTACAATTCCTTAAGAGAAAGGGTTTTTTATACTAGAGTTTCAAAGTTTTAAAATTTTCTTTTTTTTTGGATTTTTTTTATCTGGTCAGTAGTCACTCTCACCAATTCACCATATATATAGACATATTAGGTATATATGAATATATAATGTATACAAGGTTAAAGGGGCGTATGTAATTTGCGCCAAAAACAACCCAAAAAAAAAAAAAAAAATATATATGTAATTTGCGTCACATCTAAAAATTGGTAATTTGCGCAACTTTTTAAATTTGTAATTTGCGCCATTCTTCATCTTATTAAAATTATAATTAACGCGACTAATATTAAAATTATAAATAAATGTATGTAAGTAAAACAAACTCCACGTATATTAAATAAGTAAATTTTCGTTTTGTAATAAAATATATAAAAATAAAATCAAAATTATATTGGACACGCGTCGGTACGTAGTATTGTATATCTTATGCGATATCAATAAATTTATCTGCTGGTAAATACTAAATTCTAACTGCAATTGAAGTAGAAAGTGTAGCGTAAATTACATATTCCATTTCATTTAATGTCGTGGCGCAAAATACCAAAATTAATTTGTTTATGTGGCGTAAAATACTGTTATATTTTTATATTTTGGCGCAAATCACATACGTACTCAAATGTACCTATTCGTGGCACAAATTACAAGTAATAAAATTGGCGGAAAATGCCATCATCCGGTTAAAGGTACCCTAACTTTAAACAATTATTAATGATGATTTAATTGCTAAAATCCATTCTTTAAGAAAATTTAACATAGAATATATTACAAAAAAAAACCTAGCTATGAGCATCGTTCACGGTTGATACGCATAAATATTAAATACGTACAATAATACCTAGTGTCAATAATCTTAATTGTTATAATTATATTTATTTTTGAATTCCAGATAATTTTTATTCTATGCATTCTTGTAGTAACATTTTAAATCGCACCAAATTATGAATATTGTGTGTATTACAAATGCGGACCATGTAGTCCATAATAATAATAATAATTTATTATGCCGCAAAATATTGGAAGAAGTACAACAAGCAACTAGAATGGTTAGCTGTTATAAATTGAATACTTTTTCGGTAATATTATATCTTTACTTTATCTAAAATTAAAATTAAACACTTTTTAGAACTTACTATATTTTAAATAAGTGGTGTCATAAGTACCTTTGTTATATTTTTAACTTTTAATGCTACCGCATATCCTAAAGAAAGTCTTAACCTTTCTTTAGAATAAAATAAGTGACAATGTTTCTATATATTAGATAAGTGTATGATGGGTACAATGGTTAAATATAATTATTCATTTTGTGATACACTGCTGATAAGTTACTTAGGTACATAATTTTGTAATTCATTTTGAATTAATTTATAGGTATCTTCTAATTGTCTAATTAGTATGTTGATACTAATAAGTATAATACATAAGTCTATACTTTAATTAATAAGCTAATCGTTAATATAATTATGTAAGAATTTGATTGTATCTATAAGTAGAACAATAAGTAATAGTTTTAATTTATAATATAAAATAAAATTGTAATAATAATATAGGTAGTTATTAGTTGAGATTTGATATGTAGGCATTTTTTTTTATTTATCCTATTAAAATACATTTGTTTTATATTATGTAGCCATGTAGGACTTATTATTTTACTTCATTTATATATCATAGACCATTATAGAGGTCTATCGAAGACAAATATAGAATTTATCTATATCTATCCGACGATCAACACTTGGTCTATTAATAATTTAATATGATATCTAAATTTTTCTCCCGTTTTTTTAGTTAATAGTATTTTATTTTATATAATGATAAATTAATATAATAACATCGTAATAATTACGTTAGATAACCGAGGCTATTCGTAAAAAACATTTGAAATTAATTTTTATAATGTATAGTTAATGTGTATGAGAATCTATCAAATACATTTTATCTTGCAACGACTTTTATAATGTTTAATTTATCTTATGTGTTTATAAAAAATATTGATATACATAATAGACTCGTATAGTTTTATACTTGTTTATCGTATACCTATTCGCATATATAATAGCTGCATGTTTTAAAATTATTCAATATTCAGTCATTAATGATGGGCATGTTCGAATTTTAAAAATCTAGATTATTGATATCTGACTCGATTACAAATGAAAAATTAATGTTTGAATTAATTATACTATAGTCGATAAACTTTAATTGTAAACTCATTCTTTTAAATTTTTAATATAATAAATTAGAAATAACTCTTAGTCATATCAAAAAAATAAATTTGAATCCGGATAAGAGTTAAATTCAAATCCGGAATTGAATATCCGGGTATTCGAATAATCAAATCCATGCTTACTACTATTAGTTATCATGCGACGTGATCACGTGGACACATCTTTTTAGCAGATACCTATATCGGTACTAACTACTATATGTGTATTTTTTGTTTTTAATTAATTTGGGATTACCTTTATTGATCATTGTTTATACTTATTTTATCTGTTAGAAACACGTCAAATGCTAATATTAGTAATATTACTAATATTTCTTATTAGTTATTTTACATATGGTTATGACGTGATCTGTGATTTAGCTAAGGAATAAGCAATAATTCCGTATTTCAATGTTTAATATTAAACATTATAATAATTATTACTATATAAAAAAAATAGGTAATATAAATTATTAATGTTTTTTAGGATTTTTAACTATTACTTTCTAAAAATTTTTTTAAAGATATAACTTTTGGTTTAAATTAATAACTACCTAGGTAATAATTTTAAGCATTTATGGAGATCACATAGTCATTCTTAACAATCTTAACATAAGTTAACATTTAAAACGTAAATCATAAAAGCATTCAAACATTTGAAACATCTGAAATAGATTGATTGCACTTATTCATCTCCTTAAAAAAAAATATGAGCTCTTATTCAGTTAGATATGAATAGTTCATTAAATTCATCATCTTTGTAAATCTAAAGGGGCTGAAACCTCAAAAACATAATTTATAATCTTAGTAGCCTCAGTTTATAATTTATAAAATTGTATACTTGTCACTTATTATTTTACTTATTATATTTTGTATTTTGATACCAATTTTAGTTTGAACTATTTGAAGAATTCGATTTAGAAGAAAATGATGAATTAAAAACATTTTATTATGCAGATGTAGTTATAGTTGATTTTTCAACAGATATTCAACGCGGCTCTTTATTTTATTATTTAGGTTGTCGCCAAAATTTTGGAATGAATCAAAACATAATTTTATATAACAATTTAGATGACGAAGTTACATTACGTCTGAAGGTATATCATATGTACATAAAACATAATATTTTGCTTTTTTTATATTAGATGGAAAAATATTACCTTTTTCTAATAATTATTTATGTTCTTAGTGGTCTTGTGATGATTCTATTACGTTTATTCCATATAAATTAGCTGAATGTGGCGTATGTCTTATATGTATTAATTCTTCATTGCATGACAATAACAGTTCAACTGCTATTGAATCTACAAAATCAGTTGCAGAAACATTACAAAAATGTTTAAAAAAATTTAAAATTCAATCCAAGTATGAAAGTATTTTTTTAATTTTTTATGAAAGCAATGAAACTAAAATTATTTCTATTATACAATATTTATAAGTACATTAGTAATAATAGTAATTAACAGAATACTTTTATTTTGTTTGATATAGAGATTATATTAAAGAGAAATTTTTATCAGACTTAAAAACAGCTACAAAAACTTACTCTGGCGAAATGTTACGACAAAAATTGCTCATAATGAAAAATTGTCTAAATGATCCAAATGTACTTACTATTGATATACTATACAACATTATGGAAGCATTTTGTGATGTTCAGGTAGTTACAAAATCTCAATATTAATTAAAAATTATCAACATTTTAAATAACTGTCATATGATATCAGGACTATGATGGAGTGATTCAACTTGTTAAAGACGTAGAAGCTATTCCTGACAAAAAACATTTTATACAAACACCATTATTGCAATACTTATATTGCTTTGCTTTAAATAGGTGATTTAAAATTGTTAAATTACTTAAATTGTATCTTTATTAATAATTTTATTTTAATATTTGTATTACCTATCTACCTATATTTTACATTCAGAAGTAATAAACCTGAGAATCAACTAAAAGCAATGCAAGTAATAGAATTTTCATTGATAAAAAATGAAGGTTTTATACCCGATTTAATTTGCTTATATGGTCGTATTTATAAAGACAAATTTGTCGAATCTATTTTAAAAGATAAAGCTGCCCTTCAAAATGCTATTTATTGGTATCGGAAAGCTTTTGAAATGCAATCAAATCTCCATTCTGGAGTCAATCTTGCAACATTATTACTAGTTGCTGGGAATGAATTTTCTAAGTCTGAAGAGCTTCAACGCATTGGTATCTATATATCTTATTATTATTTTTGTTAACAACTTAATAACAAATAATAATATACAGTTGTATATTTTTCAAAGTACCTAGCTAACAAAAATTTAAATGTTCATTGATGGTTTTGTTGCTCATTTTTGTAATGCATATTTTTCAATTTATATTATTTTTTAACCATACATAACCTAACTATGCATTTTACTTTTTAATTCTTGAGTTATCTAACACCAAAATATATTTTAACAGTTTTATATTTCACTTAAATTAGTAATTCTATATAGGTGTATTTTTAAATAATTTAATTGGAAAAAAAGGAAGTTTAACATCTCTTGATGACTACTGGACTATTGCAACATATTTTGAAATTAACGTGCTAACAGAAAATTATGGTAAAGTCATTAAAGCTGCTGAATGTATGTTTAAACTAAAACCTTCAATTTGGCAAGTAATTCTTTGTAAATTATAATAAATAACAAGTGTACCTAATGTATATAATATTGTATATTTATATTGTATAATAGGTGTTATAAATCAACAATTGGAAATATTAAACTAATATGTGAGTTTAGAAAAAAAAGTGGAAAAATTAATGCTCAAGAAAATAACTTTAAGTTTTGGATGGAATATTTTATAGATGTTACCAAACAAGAAATTGCCAGTAACATTTACAGTTTTCCTGTGAGTATATAAATAAAATTAAAAACTATTTTAAAATCAATTTATTAACAAATTTTATTTTTAGGTCATAGTTTTAGAATCATCAAAGATTTATTTGCCTGGCTATGTTAAAGTAAACTTTGAGGTTGAAAAAAAATCTGTTTCCCTGCACAAACAATGTACAACATGTACTATAAAAGATTGTAGACAAATGGAGAATTGGATATTTATTAGTAGTATGATTAGGAGTGTTAGGTATTTTTATTTATTTAATATTTATCATTATATTATAATTTTTTAAATTTTTAAATTATATTTGTTATTCATTTTTATAGTTGTTGTAAAATAGATGAACGGTGTTTATTTTTATGTGTTAACACAAATTTTGATAGTTTCCAATTATATTTTCCATCATCTCTATGTCGTCAAAAGTTTTATGATCTTGTAAAAAATATGATGGAATATGATAAAGGCACGACCACTTACTTGAATAAAGATTTGTCTAAGAAACAAATTAATGTAGTTATTTATGTTTCTTTGAATAATAGTATTAATTGCACATATCAACTTAATTTATATTAAAACGAATATTTTTTTCTAGTTTATATATGAGCTTAATGATGATAATACTAAAAAAATTCTTGGCCAGGGAACATATGGAATTGTTTATGCAGCTCTTGATAGCAACACAAAAAAGAAAATCGCAGTTAAGGAAATACAAGACATTAACATTAAGTATTTATTTATTTAAGTATAATATTTATTTTCATTTTTTATATTAATGTATTATTATTTTTCAAGGGATGTTCCGCAACTGCTAAAAGAAGTAAATCTTCATTCTCAACAGTATCATCGCAACATTGTTCAGTATTTAGGATCAATATATGAATGTGGTACTTTTAAAATAATTATGGAACAATTACCAGGTAGATATATTTCATATTTTATTGAGTCTTGAGACATTGACTTGAAAGTTCATAGACAAATTATTGTTCTTAGAAAGTCTTTCCACCTTATTACGCTCGAAATGGGGACCATTAAAAAGAGATGAGCCTGTTATTTCATTTTATACTAAACAAATTCTTGAAGGATTGAAATATTTACATGATCAAAATATTATACACCGTGATATTAAAGGAGATAATATTCTGATTAATACATTTACTGGTGTGGCAAAAATATCTGACTTTGGAATATCTAAACGTCTTTTTGAATTATTTCCAACTACTAGAAGTTATACAGGCACATTGCCGTATATGGCTCCTGAAGTGATAAATATACCTTCAGGTGGTTATGGCACACCAGTATGTTGAAAACAAGTAGAGGCTAAAAAGTTAAAACTATTATTATAACTGTTTTTTGATTTTTTTGTAGGCTGACATATGGTCATTAGGTTGTACAGTTGTAGAAATGGCAACAGCTAATGTACCTTATATAGAATATAGAGAAGCAGCTGCTTATATAATTGGTCATTATAAGAAACATCCAGATATACCTGTTGAACTGAGTGATCAAGCATATCTTTTTTTATGTCGGTGTTTTACTTCTGATCATAATCAGCGAGCAACAGCTACTGATTTATTAAACGATGTATTTATTAGTCAGTATGCCAACTGAATTATATACATAACATTTAAATTAAAGATCATTTTTTATTTAAGCGGGCCTATAATTAAATTAATTCAATTGGTGAAATAATTTAAATAAAATACTATTTAAAATATATTTTTTATAATTTTAGATAAAAGATAATATAATTAAAAGTAATATTATAACTCTTCAATTTTATAAAAGTGTATTTATGCCAGTAAATACTAACATAAAAATTATTAAAAGGGATTTAAATTAATATTTAATTACCTATTTCAGATTTTTGTATATTTTATAAATTAATTTATATTATTATTTATTTATAATAAAATATATTTAAATAAATTGAAACTGTTGATAGCATTTCTTATAAATATTCAAATAGTAAATTATATAATGTATTAGAAACATTCATACTTGTTTAATAATTTTTGTGTAGAAGAATTTTTTTATTTTACAATATTATTCACTGATTACAGTGACTTACTGGCCCATACATGTATGGTTTAATTAGATCAGAGGTTGGCAATAGGTGGCTCGTGTACTGAATCTATGAATATTATTAAGGGAAGATAAATGGAATGTCAGAAATATTTTTCTTTAGTGCTGATTTTCCACACATAATACTATAATAGATATTTGGTCTATTTTTATTTTATTAGAAATCAAGAATTTATTAATTTTCCAACAATATTTGAATATAAAAAAATTCTAATTCACACTGCAGTCAGTTTTTAAGTTTTTTCTCTGATTTAATGAAGAATTTGGTAAAAACTTCAAATATTTTATGAATAATGAGAAACTATTGCAAATTTTTAAATATTATCATGAAGTTTCTTCAATGGAAGAATGGACAAAGTAGCTCAGTCTTCCAAAATCTTCATTTAAAATATAAATTATTGACTCGTAAGTAGATATTTCATTGAGAATATTCAAAATTACATCCATTTTCTACTAAAAGTCTTTAGGAAAAACATGTTTTGAAAAAGTACATAGAATGAATTTGACTTTGGCTCCACATCTGCGTATAATTTTTAGTTTTTTTTTAGCAGATATACAATTTTTTCAAAATTTGAACAATATATAACTTAAAAGTGAAGATAAATAAGTTGTACTTATACAGTAGATTAAACATAAATTCATGTTTATACTTGTACATAGTAAGTCAATGCCAGATAAGGTAAATATCGACCCAGAGTTATACTTGATAATTTATTGGTGAAAAAACAAGTCTATTTAAAATTTAAAAAGGTGATAATTTTTTTCGAACCATTACAAATTTAGTACCTAGCTTAAATCATGTACTTAACTGTTTCAAAATAGGTATTGATCTTAGTCTCTACTCTATATTAAGCAACCGTACCTAAATAACCCAGTCATTTACTGAATTTTGCTAATTAAATGCTTTAAGGCAGGAGTGGCCAACATGAATAGGTTTGCGAGCCACATGTACAAATACAATGATACTAAAAGCTATAATGTTTGTAGATTTTATAAAATTTGATAATTATTTTATAATTTTTTACCTAATCTAGTATTTTGATTTCATAAAATTACTCGAGCCTTATCTGATAATGATGTGAGTCACAATATGTGGCTTGCTAACTGTAAGTTGCCACCTTCTCTTTATATTATTTAATTTGCCATATCATATTTACTTATTGTATAATGTAATGTACAGATTGTAAATTTCCAATAAACGCCATTTATTTAAAAAAAAAAAAAAAGTTGCCACCTATGCTTTAAGGTGTTATAATATTCAATAATTTGATTTTGAGTTTGTGTATTATGAGAGCACTACACCCACAGACCACAAAATATGAATATTATTAACATAACATGTTAAAAATATTCGGTATAGTTAAAAATAAAAAAAAAGTCAACATTTAAGCATAGTGTTCTTAGGTTTAATTTTAATGATAGATTAATTCAATCTAATATTAAAATTAATAATGCACAATTGATTCAAGAAACGCTAATTTTCTATGTCGTACGTAAGACGGTGACATTGCGGATGTGACGTCTTCTTAATAATGATCTGCAAGACTTCAATAAAATACATTTTTCTAATTATATGAAAACAAGCGATGAAATAAATTGTAGCAGACCGTTAACTAATACGGAAACAGAAAAATTATTTTTATTGAATTACCTAGATTCTTTTTTTTTTTACGGTTATGAACCGACGACGCCGCGGGGACTGCTTGCGCATTTCTTCCGCGACACCGCCAATATGAATTACCTAGATCCTAGATTACTGTAAAGAGACTTTGTAGTACTTACCCAGAAAAATATTATTATTATTATTATTAATTTGTAACGAAATCATCTTAAAATACCCCCTCCCCTCTAAACTATTCATCCATGTACTTAATGAATAAAATATATGGTTACTGGATGGTGGCCGGCGGGTGGTGTAACTTGACTTTTTTTCGTCTATGGACAAAAAGTTCACGCCATCATTGGTCATCATTACCATCGATTCAAAATCGTTAATTTTTATTTATTAAATCTAACCTAACCCTGATCAATATGTCATGTTGTCATCATAGTTTATAAATCAACTAGTAAAAATATTGTACTAGTGTGATACATGTCATTAATACATTGTTAACTATAGAGGATACTATATATAATCGTGGTAACAACGCCGTGTACATTTTAATTCTATTTATACATTTTTATCACAACTGCCGATACCAAATATTAGCGTCGATCTAATATTCATTAATCATTATTGCTCGTAAGTTTGATAAATAAATAAATAACCGCAATATTGTATAATATGAACTATTTTGTTAAATATTTTTGAATTTTGTCGCTGACTGTTATCCTTCCTTCCATTGCGTATTCCTTCATTCATTTCATTGGCCAGGGATGTAGACCGCTGAGTGCACTGTTCAATAGTGGTATTTCTGTCCACTGTCTACGAGTCTACAATTCCGGGTTTACGTACGCAAGGCTTGACAGATATTATTAAAGAGTATTAACAGTCACGATGACGGATTCTGATTTGAGTGACGTTTCTTCTACAAGCGATGTAAATTATTCAGACATCGACTTCGATACACCAAACACTACAGATATGAAGTTAAGTGACGTCAGTGACTATCCATGTGATGATGGTTCTGTTAGGAACATTTCATTCGAAAGAGTAAGACCTTTTATTTATTCCAATTTAGTACCCCGGTTGTGCGTGTAAAGTATATAATTTGATGGTTGTATTATTTATGTTTTATTTAGAAAAAAAAAAATGCACTGAGATCATTAAATCAAGATTCGCTGTCATCGCTTTCAGAAAATGAATTTGACACCGTGTCTTTATCTTCAAATGTAACGAGTTATGAAAATGTTTGTTTAGTTATTTTATTATTATTATGTATTTGTAAAAAATAATATGATTTTGTTTTTTTTTTCAGACCAGCCAATATGATACTAAATGTGCTGTTATATTGTGTAATTCAAATGCAAGAAATCAGTTTGATAGATTATTTTTTATCAATTTTCCTAAGGATAATAAAGATCTTTGTGAAATTTGGTGGAGATTGTGTGGACACCATGGTTTGTTTAATCCTTTTTCAAAGATATGTTCTATTCATTTTAAAGCAGACGATTTTACTTCTAATATGGTAAGAAGAGATGGCAAACTCTATAAACAAACAATTTTGAAAAACAATTTTATTGTACCAACTCTTTATTTACATTCGTATGAGTATGCAAAGTTTACTAGGAAACGACGAAAAAAACGTGTTAATGATGTTTGCAGTAAGTATAGTTAATGATTATTAATTAGAAATTTAAATTATTCTATTTTAATTATGGTAAGTATTTATACAAAATAAAATTTAAAAATAGAACACACAAAATCAACATCAATATATGTTTGTGTAATTCAAGGCTGCAAGAAAACATCTTTAAAAAATGGAAAAACTACATTATTTTTCAAGTAAGTTATATTTAATATGGCTAAAGAATGTTTAAGAAAAAATATAACTTTAAAAGTTTAACTAGTTGAACACCAAATATTTTATTATTAGTGATACAACTGGGGTTACAGTTTAGGTTTATAATAAAAAACACTAATGTGATCAAAATAAAATACAACATTATAGTATATTATGTAATAATAGACTGATTCGCAATTATATTTTAAATTGTATGCAACATTGTGAAATAATCAATCCATGAAATACATAATACATATAAAATACATAGTATTCATATATTTATTTTTAAAGTATATTTCATATTTTTAAAAGACTAAGTACTGAGAAAATTTTACTATACTTATTTTATACAACTGCAATCATGGTTATTTCAATGGAATTAATTTTAAAATAAGCTAATATTTAATCTTTAGATTTCCGCTTGAAAACAAATTTCTACTAAAAAAATGGTTAAATAATATTGGATTACCTTTTTGGAAGCCATTAAAAACTAATCGAATATGCTCTGATCATTTTGAAAGCTATTACATTAAGAAGATTGATAATGTTTATCAACTTAATAAGTATGCAGTTCCATCAATTAAACCAAAAGTATGTTTATACAGTGAATTTTTAATATTTGAACATATATAATAATATTTTACATATAATACCATAAAAATTTATTTTGTAGAACTTGTTTGTCTTCAATAACAAAGATTCCAATAGTAAACAGTTCAAAACATCTATTAATGACTGTACTAATCCATCTGATTTTAGTAGAATAAAATTTAATGTAGTAGATAAAAATACTTTGATAGTCAAAGAAAATAAAAGAAAAAATAGTGATGATGGAAGAACTATTTTGTTAAATTCATTAGAGCATAAAATAGATCAACAGCTAAAAGAATATGATAAAATACTTGAAGTAACTACACTTTTAAATTCACCAGTATTACATGACAGTAATAAAGGTGAGAAGAAATTAATCTATTTAATCATATGTATATTTAAAAATTTTAGACATAACATTTTAATAAATAAATATAATATTTTAAACTATTAACAGAAGTACAATCATTAAATTCCTCAACAAAATGCAATAGTTCAAATTTTGAAGAAATGTTGGATGATGTCAATGACGTTAAAGAATTTCAATCTAAAGAAAAGACTGATTTAAGTTTAACAAAACAATATCTAGAATCATTTGAAAAAGAAATTGCAAAAGGTAATAAATGATTTTTAATTTTTAGTTTGCATCTAGATTCATGTTTTTGATAATTTTAATATTAGTAAATTGTATACTTTTTTTTATATTTATTAAGGAGTATTAAATTGTAGCTATAGATTATCTCATAGTAAAAAAGATAATAAAAACTAGGTAATGATAGTAATTTTGGTATTTAAAAATTTCACACCATGTTAAATTTGTATGTGGTGTGTTTAAGCAGAGTCTTTAATTGTACCTATTACTGTTAATCTTTTATAATAAAAGTTTAGTCATACAATATAGTATTTAATAAGTCAAATTTTTGCAATCAATTATGAAGACATTTTTAAAATTGTATAGAACACTATATAGTCTGATAAAATAATTATTTTCATTTTTTAATACTTCAAAGAAATAAACCTATGTTATCATGAAAAGATTTTTTCCTTATTAAATCTTTTTTCTAAATTTGTTATTATGATATTTTATTTTTATTTATTTAAATCCATAAATTATAAATAAGTATATAGTTTATTTTTCAATAATCATTACAAAATAAATATTCTGCTGTATAGTAGATGTCAAGTATACCTTGTCATTGTGTTAGTAATTGTAATGGTATATGTTATTTTTAAGTTAATACTAAATCAGTACTACTAACTTTACCATAGAAATATGTAAATAGGTTTATGCTATAAAAAGGTAAAAAAGGTAATAGAATGATAAATGTTTTTAAGTTTTTCAATTACCTACAAATAATATTTTTAAATTTGAACAAAATAACTAAAATCTTTATTCTTTGTTTGCATATTTAGTTTCCTGAAAATCTGAACTAAAAGTGTCTATAAAAGAAAACTGGAAAATTAACCTTAATATGTTTTTTAAATTTTTTGGTTTTAGTATGAAAAAACCTTGTTTTAAATTTTCAATCCTCAACCATACTTAAACATTTTATAAAACAACATGTAACTTTTAATGTTTACAAATGTTGTCAAAATTTAAACTTTTAAATACTTATAATTTAAAATCTTACTCGTATATCTTTAATATTTTTAAATAGCTATTATAATAACAACTTAGGTGAGATCTTGAATTCAGTTTTCAAAGTTTTTGCTTGGTTAACATATTAGAAAATAAAATTGTTTTTAAGTAACTCAAAGAAAATCAAAATATTTAGAAAATTGATGTACCCAACTTGAGTACAAAAAAAAAAAAAAATAATAATAATAATAATTATGACAACAACTTGTTTTAGTTTTGGATAAAAATAATTATTTTTTCTAATAACTTTGACTATTTTAAAAAAAAATTTTACAAATTACCCCCTAAAGTGAAAGTTCCAAACATATTTTCTACTAATAAAATTCATTACTTTAATCTGAATTTAAAAACATTTAATTCAATAGAAATCTTGTATATAGTATATATTAAAAATTTAAGTTAAATTTCAGCATTTTGATTATTTCAGAAAGAGAGAACATAAATGGAAGTATAAATAATAATGATATCGATTTAGAATATGTTTATTTGGATATATTAAATGATGTAAATATGAATGCAAGTGTTATGGAAGATCAACCTATACATGATACAAAGAATAGTTTAAAAGGTAACTTGCTAATTATAATTACAATTTTTTGGAGATATCAGTGGCAGTTCAAGTTCATGCTACAGTGCACAGGATTATATGAAATATTTAAAAAAATATATTAAAGTTTTATTATATATTATAACTGATCATTATGTACATATTTTGTAACATAAAAATGTGATAAAAATAAAAAAAAATTTACAACTTTTCATGTTTATAAGTAAGTCTATTAACAATTAAATAATTTGTAGTGCACAGATGAGTTAAGCTCTATTTGGTCATACAGTATTAGCTACGTTTATAAATTTGTATGGTAATTAAGTATTGTCTTTCGAAGCTCCATTAATATGTGTACTAAACCTATTTTTATTGTGTTGTGCTATCATAACAATTATTAATACAATTCCATACCATTATGCATTGGCCATTAATTACTGTTTATTTACTCTCATATCTAAATACTAACAATAATAATAAATAATATCAGGATAAAGAAATTATTTTTAATAAATAAAGAACTTAAACAACTAAATGTACATAATTAAATTATTTTGGTTATGTACTTCTATCAAATTTTTGTTTTACTAGCAACTTAAATTGATGTTTTATAAAAGTTGATAGTGAACTTCATGAATTGCCACTGGTTAATGTAAATATATATTTAGAAAAAATATAACTAATTAGTAATTAATTTTATATTAAATGATTTATTTTTGAGAATCTATTATAGTATAATTCTAATGCTAGGATTTGTTTAATTATGATACCTTGATATCAATAGAATCTTTTTTCTCACATAGAATTTCAATTGAATACTTTACATAGTTAAATTTTAATTTCATGTACAATTATTTTTGTTAATAGATGAAGATAATACAACTGCATTAGAATATGAAATAAATAAAAACGATGTGAAAAATATGTCTGTAGAATCAATAAAGACAAATATATTATTTGAAGGTAATTATTTATTTACTTCTATATATAAATAGACTTTTGTAAAATTATTTTGTATGATATATTTTAATGACATACCTATAAAATAACTCGGAAAAAAAAGTTTGAAAACAAAATGTATATTAAAAAAATTTAGCCGTTTTTTTGTCCAATAGAGTTCCTTTAATTCACAAAAGTTAAATTTAAAATCATAAGAATTAAAAATATATATTTCATTTTCTTGTAAAAAGTCAAAATACAAGTTTTAAGTTTGACTTAGATATATATTGTACTGACAGTTTTGTGATTTGAATAGTTCGTTTTTCAGACTTTTTTTTTAAAAAAATGTTCTAGAATATTTTATTTGACAGTAAAATCAAATTATTTGTCCTTGGTATTTTTATTAAATGATTACCTCATAAAATATAATTTTATTATTGTTAAAATTTAAAAAATAACATATTTTGTATTTAATTTAAATATTTTGCTTATTTTAGAAAAAGAAGTGATGAATAAAATTTCAAACAATAATGATATGGATTTGGAATATGTTTATATGGGTATGTTAAATGATGAAAATATGATGGGAGTACAGCCTATTTATGATACTAATATTAGTGTAAAAGGTAATTTAATTATAATAATCACTATTTAATATCTTATATTTTATAATTTATTTATTTTTATTAGATGGATGTAATGCAACTGAAATAGGATTTGAAACAAATAATAATAATAATAATAATTCAAAAAACATGATTGCAGAATCCACAAAGCTTAATATCGCTGAAGGTAATAAACATATTTAATGTTTGATACATTTTTAATACCTATTTTTGTTCTAGAAACTCCTGAATCTATCATTTATGATCAAGTTTTAACAGAATGTTATGGTGAAATGCTTCCACCATATTGCGACCCAAATTGTCAGCTAAAATGTTATTATTTTGTACCTGATCCTCAGCGAAAAGAAATTTTTAATCAATTTCATCAATTGGAAAATGTGACTGAACAGAACTGTAAAATCGCTCAATTAGTGCAATTGGTTATGGTTGAAAATTCAGAAAGTAATTTTGAGAGATGTCTGACATGCTATTTAACTATGAATGAGGAGTCTGTGAAAGTGTGCCGAGTATTTTTTATAAATACATTGGGTATTCCTGAACAGCGTCTCGATGCCATTTTGAAACCAGATAATTACAATTGGTATTCTAATAGTGATGTTGCGTTGAAAGGTAATCATCCAAAACAAGCAAAAGTAATAAGCGAACAAATTATAATCACAAATTTCATGAAAGAATCTTTAAAGCTGTTAGACAAAGACTACAATTTATATGTTCCTGAGAGTGATACTGAAATTGATCTAGAAAGTGTACCATCCGAAGAGCAAGAAAAAGTGTTAACTTACATAAAAGGTATTCCTAGAATTTTATGTGTGCCCAAAATTTCTGGAGACTTAAAGAAACAATTATTTGAAACCAGTATTTGTGTGGGATATATGTATAAAACGTATTCTGAAAACTATATTAGAAACAAAATTCCACCACCATTAACAAAATGCCAGTTTAAAAAAATCTACAATCAGTATATGAAGTCTCATTTAAAAATGATTTAAACTCAAATTAATTCTATTACTGTTATATTTATAATACACACTGTTTTAAAAAAAGAATTATGTATTTCTTGTTGTTAATTGATTAGTTTATTTGTTTTATAAGTATTTAATGTTTAAGTACTAATATTTCATTATTTTGAGTAATATATCTTTCATATTTAGTTTTTATGAAATATTCTTAGAAAACATATTTTTTTATTATGCTTCATGACTGATGTTTGTACAGCTGTAATTTTATTGGCATAATAGAGTCTATACTGATAATAAATGTACGGATAACTTGTTTTTGCTCAGCTTATTTTATTTATTTCCTTTAATTATTATATTATAATATAATAATTTGTACTTTAAGAATTGTTGTATAAAATTAATATAAATGTTTTTTTCAAATTGTTATCATAAAAAAAAAAAATGTAACAGCTTAAGAATTATATTGACAAAATCTATTATGCTAGTATTAAAATAGACTACTATTAAATACTTTGATAATTTTAATTTTTCATGTTTAGAATTACTAATTCTACTAATATAATTATTTAACCATGGTATGTTAAATTTATATGTTTAACATTTGGTTATCAAACTCATTAGTTTATAGAAATTTAATACATTTGAATTCTTTTATACAGATAAAAGAAATACATTTATAATTTTTATATTATACTAATATTTGTAATTTTTCTTGTAGTATAGAAATTGTTGCAGATGCTCCCTCTAAATTATGATTTGTCATCAGAAGATTTTATAACAACTTATATACCACTTTATTTTCTTATTCAACAAATTGTTAATACTACAGAAAAATAGTAAAAAAATTAAACTGTTATAAAAAAAAAATAGATACATTGTTGCAATCATTCAAAAAAATAAATATTTAATGTTCAAATACATAATTTATAAAAATAGATCTTATACAGTATAATACTAATAATTTAGCCAGAATTTCGTTATCTTAACTTTTAAAAATCATTCATTTAATGAACACATTTTCAATTTAATAATCCAATTTCTTTTAAACATTCTTTAGCGGCTTCCATTTTAGCCATTTTTTTTGTTTGACACCTTGACGAACAATACTGCACTCCATTGACAACTACCTATATGAAATAAAAATAGTTAATAAAATATTTTTGTATATATTTGTAATACTTACAGTCATAATAAACGTTTTTCTATGACTAGGACCAGATTCGTCTAGAGTATTAAACTTGGGTATGTCCCATTTACGTTTTGCACAAAATTCATTTAATAATGAAACTGGGTGTTTTCCTACAATAATATATAATTTTTATTAAATAAAGTTGTTACTTTATTGTTTATCATGTTTAGACAATTTACCTTCCAGTGATAACATAGGTGGTACTGCTTTTTTTGAAAATTTCTTTGTACGATTTCCTTGGAGTTCTTCTTCAGTCACCAGTCCTTTAACACAAATAGTTAAATAATATACTTTATACCAACATTGAAAATTTTTTTATACCTCTTTTATCCATTTTGACATCCAATAAAAGAGGTTCTAAAGATCCAGATTGATTCTTTCCAAGACCTTCACCTGGTTTCCATCCCATTTTTTGTAGCAAATGAATCCCAATGCCACTGTTTACAGGAGCAGAATTTTTTAGCTGGTCCTACAATTATAAATTAATTATACTGAGCATTAAATATAGGCATATAATTCAAAATTAACAACCATAAAATATTTGTATAGTTTATTGTATAAATAATAATTATTGTACAGCTGTGTTGTTTTCGGTAAAAAAATATCCGTGTTGAACTTGATGATCATTGAAATCCATATTATGATGATTTTCATTTATTAATTTTATAATACTTACAAAAATACAAGTTAAGTATTTTCAAATGTTTGTTTCCACTTTAAAATAAAATTTAACTAAATACTGTAAATGTATACACTGTTAAATGAATACATTCAAGTATTTATTAAAATTACCAGGGGGCTGCATCAGATATCCCATGAATGTTCCTCAGACGAACCGTCGTTCGATTGTGGTGTTGTTGATATAGCGCTTAAATAAGTTAAACACAAGTAATACTGCCTGTAACAAATTTCCATTTGGCTTTCGTGCACTTAATATGCATGTTTATTTAGCAATGCAGCAATTGCTAGATAAACATACAGCTTAAAAGAAAATGTCTTGATATCATAAAATATGTAAACAATAATTTTATTTAAATGATTCAATCATAGATTGAATAACAACATCAAGACTTTTTCTTAGAAGTTAATTAACTAAATTTATTATTAAATGCACATTAAAATGTATTTTGTTTGAATTGAGTAGGTTCTCAGTAACCAAAATCAACAAAATTATTAAAATGTAATGTAATTTTTTAAGTTATACACAAATTTTGTATTTGTCTTTTACAATAATCATTCTAGTCTTATACTACTTTAAAAGTTAATGTAATATTTCCAAGTGTTTGAAAGCCCAATGAAAATTGTCAATATCGAATTTGAAGAAAATAATATAATATAGTGCAAAAATATATTATACCCACTTTATATTTTAAAAAAAAAAAAATAAAAGGAAAATTGGAGTACAAAGATCCTATACATTTTACCTTTTTCACCCAGGTTTGAAATCCAGCAGAAAGTTCTGCAGGAGTTAATACTTTAGCACCAGTATGACCAGTGAATTGTCCAGTTTCAAATGACAACAAAGAATAATTGCCATGTGTCTAGAATATCAAACATAAATTAATATTTTAGTTTAATGACCATTCAGACAATTAATTTAATATTCTCGTTTACATAAGGTGTGAATGCTGGAGTTTCAACAATAGGAGACACATACTGATAATCCATAGGCACTATAGCATTGGTTGGACTTAAAACAGGTTGAATAATAGGTTCCACCTGAATAAGGCAGTTTATATACATTTTATCATACAATTTTAGTAGTTTGAAAAAATCTTACAGGAACAACTTTTGGAGTCTGTTGAATATTATGCGATTTGTTAGAAAGTTTATTTCCTTCATCAGGTTTAAGTATTTTATTTAATTTTGCAGATTCTTCTGGACCTATGGGCATCCATTCAGTAAGAGCCAAACTATGAGTTTGGCCACTGGATACGGGAAACTGTTGTCTCAATATATCTTGTCCAATAGTTTTTTCTTGAAAGGATTTAATAGGTAATTGTGTTGCATTCTAAAAATATGAATTAAATTATATATTTTTATATATGATGGAATTCTAATAAATTTTTTATTAATTGCGTTGAGATTTATTTACTCTAATATTCATGACTATATTAGGTCTTTCCTTGACTAAAAATGGGTGGTGGAAAGGTTGTTTGAATTCATCATCATCAGAAGAATAAGAAGAATCATCATCATGATCCTTATCCTTTTTTGAAAGTTTACGACAAAAATCTTAAAAAAACAAGCTTTATGATGACATATATAATATTATTATAATATTTCATATGCAAATATTACTCATAATCAATAATAATTTGAATAATATTATAATGTTAACTAAGCTAAAAAAATTAATATTTATGATAATTTTAAGTTTTAATAAAATATTTTTGTACAATTGTACATAAATTATAGTATATTATGTGGAAATAACAAGATAAAATTATGTTAAGTGTTAATTACAAGGTTACATTACTTCAAATGTGCATTACCTGTTAGTTCATCTACAGTTTTAGTGGGTACATTGGCTAAAGTATCTTTTTTTACACTTCCCACTGGTAATACACCCTGTTGTACTAAAGACAAGGCATTTTTACGAGCTATTTTAAATAATTTTTTTTTATCAATTTTTTCACTGAAAAAAAAATCTTGCAACAATTTAAAAAATAAATAACAATTAAAAACTAATATCCTTACCTAGAAGGAGATCTATGTCTAGTCCTAGATGTTTCTCTAGACCTTGATTTTTTTCTTGTTCTATTATAATCTTCTGATCTCTTTGACTTTTTACTATCCCTCGATCTTGAACGCCTAATTAATTTTGGGTATTTATCTGGTGTTATAGATCTTTTATGATGATTGCTTTTTTCTTTTGATTTAATATCACTATCATTATTTTTACACTTAATGTTAGAGTCATTTTGGTTCCTTGAATTAGTCTGATGATTTTTAATGTCATCATGTCTCAAATACCTAAACCAATATTGAACACAATTATTTAAATATGTCAATACTTAATACTTATGAAAGTATCTATAATATTTATATTACATAAAATTGAATTTAAGAAGATAAAAATAAATGAGAATCAAGATTCATCAAAATATGTATAATGAAGAAATAGAATAATTTCTAATTTTAAATATTTAATACTTACTTATCTTTGCTATTTGAACGAGATCGACTATACTTTTTAAGTCGTTTTGGAGTACTTGATCTATTTCTACTTCTTGATCTTTTCTTTTTTTTTGATTTATGCTTTTCTATAAATGTATGTGTTTTAGGTTCAATAAAAGTTTAAATAATATTTCTTAGTTTAAGTTATTTTTATTAACCATTATTATGTATTTATGCAGTAATTAAATGTAATTAATAATATTCACCTTTTTTTTTTCTTTTTTTCTAAATCATGAGATCTACTATTATGTTCACTATTTTTACATTTTACAGTTTTTAACCGTTCTTTTTCCTGGCCTTCAAAAACTAATTCATGGTATAAACGGCTGTCTTTTAAATCTTTAATGATGATTTTTCCATTATTTAATCCTGTGGAATTATGTTCTGAAAGTTTGAAGAATAAATTATGTATATAAAATTATAAACATTTAATTAAATAAATATCACTATTTACTTATTTGATTTGAATTATTTTCTGGTGTTTGTACTTTATTTTTATCTACTGAAATTATATCTGGATGACAGATCTCATTTTCATTGTGTTTAACGTCTTTGATCTCCTCACTTTTTTCATTAGCCGTACTCACAATTGTTTCCATGATCACATCTAATGATACTGACATACCAGATTTGGCTTCTTCTAGTTTATCTTTTTTGAGTTTTAGTTCTATGTAATCTCCAGGTGAATTAGATCTTGAATGTCGTTTTTTTTTTTTGGATTTCTTCGATTTTTTTTTGTGTTTTTTATGTTTTTTTTTTGACTTATCATGTCGTTTGTGTTTGTTAATGGATTCTGGCATCGAATAAGTGGACGTCACTTCTGTATCAGGAACACAAGGAATTTTCTGCTCCAAAGAGTTAAATAACTCTTTAATTATTGTATCTGATGTCTTCTCCATGTAAAATGTATAATATATTAATTTAAATTTTTTTTCTAACTATGAATAGGTAATTAACATGAGATAAGTGAAAACGAACTGTAAGTAAAAACGTAACCATAAAAGTTAAAACGACTCGAATTAGTAAATAGGTAGTTAGTTATTAGATTATTAAATGTTTTGGTATTAATATAAATTGTCAATATTAAAGAATAATATCATAGATATCGTATAAATTAATAAGTAATAACAACAAATAACTTCAAATATATATAGTCCTTCAATAATTAATCTATAATGGTAAATGGGTCATTGCTGGGTGGCTTCGTTATCTGATAATAATAGTATCTAACACGGCTGTAAATAATACTATCTACACCTTAGATCTTAGATGATCAAAGATTTACACACGCCACACGCGTGGGGTAGTTCTTTTCCTTTATACTATAGTTCTGAGTATCACCTTTTGGACCATTTATGTAACTCTAATATGTTGTGCACACTGTAGCGCTTATCAACTGCCGGTATTTGTTTGTTATAATTATTATTAATTATTCTATACTTATTTCCATAGAATAGAACACAACATAAATTATAAACTAGTGAAACGAATAAAACGAATTGTTTGGATTTCCGTCTTCTGGACTGCACAACGTCTACCATGACAAAATAGATCTATTTCGTCATGACGTCTACGACACTAAATGTAACAGTGACTATATTCATAAGTTAATCTATCTCGTTGTTTAGAGTTCTTTTTTAACTTAATTTGAAAGACGTTTTTACTGTTTGTATTTCATCCCGATTTGTCATTAAATATCAATAAATATTAACAATGTCAATGCGTTAAAAAAATAAAAACTGGGAAGTAACAATTATAAAATTATTGATTAGTGCACAATAAATTATTTTCTTTAAAAATACATTGTGTATGTGATAGTGATACAACGAAATTTTAAGTTATTATAGTGACATAGTGAAATAGTTTTTGTGACTTGTGTTGACGACTTATCTAATCACCTAGTGCAATGGGTCGTAGGAAAAGTAAAAGAAAGCCGCCCGCGAAAAGGAAAGCCATAGAGCCTCTAGACACACAGTTTAACTGTCCGTTTTGTAATCACGAAAAATCTTGCGAAGTTAAAATGTAAGTATTACTTATGATAAATTAGATCTAATTTGTCATGGTATTGCTGTCAATTGGTTTTAAGGTGTTATGCCGGAATAAAAAAACCTAACTATTACTATGAATCATGTTATTGCCATGCATATCGTAATTTGATGTTATTTTGAAATCTGTACACGAAACATACAAATTTGTACACAATTTTTTGATTAACAACACACTGTATATACAGGGATAAGAGTCGAAACGTGGGGAAAGTGTATTGTCGTGTTTGCCTAGAATCATTTCAAACAACTACAAGCTTTTTGTCTGAACCAGTTGACATATACAATGATTGGGTTGATGCTTGTGAAGCAGCTAATTGATGCAGGGTGATTACTGAAACAAGAATAAGGTAATTATATTGTAATGCTGTAAACCATTGTTTTTATAATTTATTTTAATATTATAATGTACATTAATATATCAAGAGTCAAGACACACGCATCATCTTATATTTTGTTCTGTATTATTATAGTCCTAATTATCTCATTTAGCTTAAAATAAATTATCTTTTGGCTTGTATTAAATACACGTGAAAAAATAGTTTTGTTTCATCTATTATCCAATTTATTGCTATTGGATTGTTGGTAAAAATATATTTAATGTTCAAGAATATTATAAAAAATACTTATCAAAGTGTACTAATTGCCTTGTCTATATTGTACTTGTTAAAAAATGGCATCAATCATAACCATATTAAAATACTCTTTTTTTTTTTCAGAACAAAAAAAAAAAAAAATGGAAACTAAACCAAAACAATTTTGTATTTTAATATATTTGATCTTGTTTCTTAAAACTATATATTATAATTATTATTGTAATCACCCTACACAATTCATTGAAGTATAAAATATTATAATTTTAAATCCTTACCTTTAATTTTCATTATAAGAGTTATGGTAATATGTATTTTCAATTATTCATAATTTAAAAAAAAAATAAATATATATATATTAATCTATATCTGTAAATTTTTTTCTTTTATTGTTGTATTTTGCTTTTTCTAATATCATACTTAGTAAATGTTATATTCTAAGTTTTTCAAGTACAACCAAGATTATTATTTATATTTTATTATTCTTTTTAACAGACAAATTGTCATATAATTTTGAATAGTGTTAAAATTGGTTTTTTGACAAAAGTATTTGCATATTAAGAAAAAATAAAGTTAAGAAAGACTAATTATTAAAATAATATTTTACAACACAAAGTATGTTAATAAATTAAATATGAGAAGACATTTACATAAAAATTAAATACAATATATTAACTGAACCAGTGGCTGCCCATACACTCTCTTGTCCATTCTGTTTGACACAACCAACACCACGGAAATGAACATCGTGTACATATCATATGCATACAACCTCCTTAAAAATAATGAAGGAAACAATAAACCATATAAAGTACGCAAATAATAATTACCATCTCTTTCAGTGGCTGTACGGCATTTTGGACATGGTTTTGTAGAAACTTTGATCTTAATTTTACTTGCATCATCCCATTTAGACTAAAATATTTATGACAAAATTAATTTTTAATATGTATACCTGAGCTGGAATAAGATGATTAGTTGAGCACAGATATGCATGGTTAAAACAACTTTTTCAAGTGTGACTATTGAATGTTTCTATTAATCAAGAATGCAATCAAAAACAGGCATGAATACACCTACTTAGTCATCTTTTTATTCCAGTTCAGGTAAATATAAGATATTATTAATCAATATTTTATACCTGTGAAACTAATTTAGGGTCGACTGAATAACCACCAGTAATGTCAATCACTAATTGCTCTTCTTTTGGTAGACATTCACCAATATGATAACCTTGGAGACATTTCTTACAAAATACATACTAAAAATTAGAAAATAATTCACTTTAGAATCTTTTCTATTGAAAATTCCAGTAAACAGTATTACCCCACATCCTTTAATGCACGATACTTTGTCACAATCATCATCAACAAGTATACCTGCACCGCAATTAGGTTGAGGACATAACACACCACCATTATTAAGCACATATTCTTCAGTTGCAAACCTTTCATACATTTCAAACTAATAAATGTGTAAAAACTTTGTATAATGTAACTGAATATTTATATTGTATGGATGTTAATGGCTAAACCAGAAATATAATAGGAGTTAATGATTTGTTAATTGTAATTAATTATAAAAGTATATAAAAATAAAATAAGTTATAGATACATGAATGTTTGGACATTATCCAAAAAAAAATTAGCTCTTATATTTCTTGTTTGATTATGGTAGTGATATATCAATCCACATTAAAATTTTATACGCTTAATGATACTTACATGATCTTTGCTTAACACTTTAAAATGATAGGGTTGGTTAATTAAACTGTTTGGGCAACCAGCTGGGCATGGTAATGTGTAACCAAGATTATAATCAAATACAAATCTTCTTTCTCTAATTCGGCTAATTGCATACTCACAAAAACATTCTAAGCATGTTACATGTCCATCATCACATGGATACACAAATACTCTTGATCTATAAAAATATATATTAGGACATTGTTATAGAAACATTAAAATAATATTACCTAACATCAGTACAAGCTAGACATTGGATATCATGTAAATTATTTCTAATTAAATGTAGTGCAACTGCTTCATCATTTTCACCTTTGGTAACATGTTCAGAACATTTGAAATAAAACTCTGACCATCCTACTTCTCCATCCTTAGAAAAATTAACAATTAAAAAATAATAATAAAGCAATAAAATCAAATAAAATTTATAAATACATACTGTACACTGATTTATCTCACAATGTCCAGTAATTCTTTTAGGTTTGAGCACATCATTCCAGTTTTTCGGATCACCATCCACAGTAAATGCACCACTCTTACATTTGAAACATCTCACACGGATTTTGCCAATAGTTATATTAGCACAAGGTGAAGTGCAATAAACATAAAAGTTTACAGCTGCACGTTTTGAGTCATTAAATTCTTCGTCTTCTTCGATACATGTAGATACACGTGGCTTGCGTTTAAATGATCTGTGTCTAGACTTGACGGCATGTAACACAGTCTGTTCTGCAAGATTATATTCTTCCAATAACTCTGAGTCTTGTAATTCTTTACCGGCAAATATGATTATCAACTATGAGAATAACAGCATAATCCATGAGTAGAAGAAAAAAAATAGGATATGTGTAATGCATAAAATATCAATGACTAAGAAGTGAACAAGCAAACCTCTTCAGGAGCCATTCCCAGTTTGGGGGCAACAAATTCTTTGACGTCTCGGACTTCCCATTTCGAATCCAGTCCTACAGGTACAACAGTACCGGTGTTGGTCTTTACGAATATCAATAGCGAATTTGTGAGGCGCCTGGCGAATATCGTGTCTAGAACACGGCGAATGAAATTCAATAACCAATCTAATACATACATCATACACTCGGTTTATGAATGATTAACAAACATTTAAACGTTGTTGATATTTATTATCTTTTAAATTTTAATAATCGCATTTATGTAAATACTAAATAATTAATATCAAAATAGTAAATGACTATTATCGTTATTTGTTACAAATAATACAAATTGCGAATGAATTATTATCAAAATTAACTTTTTAAACGGTCAAACCGCAGGGTCATGTGATAACAGACATGTGCGACAACGTCGGGTCAAAATTGAAATCTCCATCTATTATCCTATGCTTTTCTGTTTTTATTTTTATTTTATTTTACTTAATAATAATAATTTTGTTTTAATGCATTCATTTTCAACATTAAGGGCACGGTTTTGGATAGCAAATTAAACTAGTTGATACTTTTAAGTCGTCAAAATAAAAAAATGACTGTAATTTTCTAAAAAATCGGGAATAATAAAAAAAAATGGAAACTTTAATATTAAAGTGATTTTTGATAAAATTGGTTTTTTTATTTTGTTATAATTTTTAAACGGATATAACAGTAAAAACTTGAAATTTTTTTTAAGTATATGTATTTATTTAATCATGTTTAATGAATAATAAATAGATACATGGAAACATTTTCAAAATATTTTGACTTTTTGAATAATTTTTAAACAATTTAAATTTAAAAAATTTTTTTTAAACAAATGACGATAAAAAATTGATAAATGAGTAAAATTGTTTGAAAATTTAAAACAAGGTTCCTAATAAACTGAAAATTAAAATTTAATTATCAATCTAAAAAACTTAAATCAATTCTAAATTTGCAGTCTAGTGCGTTTGGCGTGTACGTTAAGTAGGAATACCACTTCGACTTTTTGTTCTAAATCCTAATATAGTAGTATATGTAAATCATATTTTTAAAAGAAATTGTGTTGTTATTATATAATATAAATTAAAATAGTTACACTACAAAAAGGTTTTTTGCGTACGCCTATATTATGTTGACTATGAATTAATCTAAATCTCCGAAGCTCAATGGAAACATTTACTGTCCTAATCTACTGGCCAATTTTAATTTCTCTATGCCTAGTCATAGCATTAGACTATCAAATGCTTTTTACGTGCCATTTCAGCTCAAGAATTATAGATTAGTCTGTATGTTCCTATAAATAGATGCATGATATTAGTAAGTAGGTAAGTATAATGTTGATATTTCACTATTTATGACTAATTATAGTTTTATACTTATTTAAATTGTATACTTTATTAATTGTTTAAAAACTATAATCTCATGTAATAATTGTATAGGTACTATTAATTAGTTTATGTTGTAATTGAACAAACCACTCGTCTAAATGGAATAGAATAAAATAAAAACAAATAAATATGAAGTCAAATGTCTATATAGTGAATATAGTTTAAAAAGGCTCTAATATTTTCAAGATTAACATTTTGTCTATATAGAAATTAATGACAAAAATATTTAGCAAAAATCAAGTATAAATTACAACAAAATAATAAATTTTATCTGAAATAAATTAGATCACTAACTTATTTTAAACGTCAATAAATCACTTTTAATGAATCGATAGACGGTATTCGGCACTCGCCCACCTATAGGCTATAGCATCGTTTCTCAACTTTTTTAGTGTCGTGACCCCCAAAATAGGTATAAAATATAGTCAATCACTTCGCGACCCCCCCTCCATCTAGATTAGGTAAAAATTTAAACAGTAAAAATATCCTATCATTAACCAAACGAAATTAACATTTTAAATACCAATTTATAAATACTATATCTAGAACTTAAGCTTATCAAGTTTGAACATTATGTATCGGGTCGTTAGGAATTTCCATTAGTGGAGTAATGCCCGTTTTGTAAAAAATCAGCGTTTTATTATTTTTGACCTGTGCGACCTGGTTGAGAAACGCTGGGCTATAGCACAACATATAATATATAAATATATAATTAAATCTTATTAATAAGGATTTATAATCATTATAAATTTAACCTATAGTTTATAGTACCATATATCATTTAGAAACGATAATGCTTCTTAAAGATCCAGAATATTTTAGGGACATCGTTACTCAAATTCTGTGTTATGTCTGAAAATAGTGTATTGAATATTCGAGTCTTGAATAACAAGCATATATCATTAGCAAGGTATATCATTATTTTTCAACTTTTTTTTTTTTTTAAATATTTTTATTAGAAATAAATAATAATAAAAGTCCATACATCAGGTGCACAATAAGCCTATATGTATACTAAAGGGTCCGGAGTTGATATAAAGGGGTTGATTAAGCAGTCACCCATTAGCGACACTTATATTAAATCATTTTTTTTTTTTTTACTTTTGATAACTTATATTGTAATTAAGTCGAATCTAGAGGATTTTTGAAGTTGAATTTTCGAATAGCTGGTTTGATTTAATTTAGGTTGAAATATTTTTCGGGACTAATGATGGCCGTTGGGAGATGGAAGTTTGATAAGTGTTTTAGTGTTTACCTCGTCTATTTATTCAGTTGTGAATATATCTCATATACATTATAATTATAAAGCTCATATTTTATCAGTAAACATTCGTTATTTAAAAAAAAAAAAATGTTTACCTTTTAAAAAATAATTTTTTTATATAACTTATAAGGTATCTAAAACATATTTGAATTTTTTTATTTTATATTTGGAAATACAATATTTTCCAAACAAATTTCGACTAAACCAATTAATTCTAAATTTAAAATGATAAATGAGTAGTAAATAACTCTAACCTTTAAATTATGCTATTATAATGATTAATAAGGTCCATAATCCCAAACTCGTACGTTAGTGATGTTACATTACATTAAACCTATGCATTATAGACACCGCATTTACAAATATACACGTAGGAGTTACTGTGTTAGGTGATAATAAATAGTTAATAGGCACTAAACTTAAAATATATCAATACTTATATAATATATTATGTATTTATCATTTATGTATAAAAGAGGTCTGAAGTGTTTAACGTTGAATACTGAATAACGAGCGAATAACTTAAGTAAGTAATTACTAATTTCAATATTTTCAAAAACAATTACAAGTTATAATAACTCACCTTGTTGACGTGGTTACACTGTAACCTTGATTTTATCATTGACAACTCGGAAAATTGTTCATAGATAATCGTTTATCACAATCAACAGTGAACAGTGAATATCAACAAAATTGCGGTTTTTTCGTTGCAAAGAATCCACGATTTATAATTTCTATTTGTATATTTTTTATTTTAATGTAGGTTCTGATGCTGCAATGAAAGTTGGTTAATCGGACGTCCGTTATTTTTTTTAATGTTATTTGAAAAAAGAAAAAATGAGCAACCTTTTAGTTTACAGAACGCTGTTAATAAAATTTGTTTTTTCGTCATTACTATTTTTTTTACACTTTCTGTATGCGTTATACGCGTGGCTCATCGACCAGACAATATTTAAACAGCCAGATCCTTGGCACGATCGTTCTAAAAATGGATATAAGAAGTATCGGTTGAAAAAGTTGCCCAAACATCTCGTAGTGTCTGTGTGCCAGGAGGAAGTATTCTATGAATATTTAGCCAAGTTACTGGCCTGGGCGTTGTTCTTAGAAGTACCAGTCATTAGTTTTTACCATAATGAAAACGGTAAAGTATTAAAATTGTACATTTTGAGTTTTTTTTTTTTATACATTATATCATATTAATGAAATTGCCAGTATTATAAATTATTTAAGTATTGGTATCTATTTACTTTTTCATGAATTAAATACATAATAATATTTTGAATATTTTCTTTCTAAAAATATTTGAATACATTTTAGATTCTATTTTACTGTATTAAACTCCTTCAAATATTTTACTTGTTTAGAATTATAAAAATATAAGTATTACTACCAAATTATTTTTTAATTTACATAATATGCCAACCTAACTAATAATTTTGAACAATCTATGTTTTTGAAATGTAAAAAATGTTTATACTATACAATTTATTGATACAATGAAATATATTAATTTAAATTTATTTTAAATAATAAAATTTTCATTAATAAAATATATTTATCTTGATGGTTATTTTAAATTTGAATTTAGGTATAAATAAAAAAATAATAGTTTATAAATATTAGATAATAATGTAAATATAATAACAAACAAGTTTCTATAAAGTAGGTACTACAATTAATAATTATTTTTCAATACTAAATAATTTAAATTTACAATATTGGCACTACTAACATTATCAACAAAAAAAAAATTTTCATTTATAATATAGAATTTATCTATTAATGAATGAAAATCTTGTGTCCACTCTTCAATTCATGTTAGCCTTAGATCTGTCTTTAGTATTGTATATATAGATAAACTTGTGTAACCTACATTTACTATTTATTATGTTATATTATTTCATATTAAAATTTTTGGTTTGTTTGTTTTTTAGGTATATCTTCAGAAGAATTGTTTTTTGCTTTCAGAGATCAGTATAGTAGTTTATTGACAAAAATCAATTGGGGATTAGAATTTAATGATAATATAAAATTTGAATCAAAAAAATGTATTAACGGTAAATATTTCTTAGTTATTTAATAGTGACTTATTAATGTATATTGCATGTCTCATTAGAAGATTAACTGTTATTAAAAAATGGAATTTATTATTCAAACAAAATAGTAAAATTGTATATATTTTTAATGAGCTTTTTTATACTTCAAGGATATAAATGGGAACCAAGAATTGAAGTCAACATACTGACATCTAAACATTCTAAATTACAATTAGTAAATGCTTTGCGAACTGTGTGCAGCACAGAAGAAGAATTCTCAGACACTTTAGTCGAGTTAGCAATCAATAAAACATTCCCCATGGTTGAACCAGATTTGGTTGTAATCTGTGGCAAGTCATGTACAACATTTGGTTTATTACCTTGGCATACTCGTGTCACTGAATTTTTGTGAGTTTAATGTTTAAGTACTAGATTTAACTAACTTGCATGTTGTTGCATATTCACATATTAATTATACTGTTGTTGAATTCTAGAACATTGAAAACACATTATAATGTCACATTTTTAAAGTTTTACAAATTATTGGAACAATACAGCAAAAATGAACAAAGATTTGGAAAATAAAAGCTTTTGTTAGATTTTAATAACTACATTTAAGTGTAAATAATAGTTTATATTGTTTGTCAATTGTTTAAACATTGTTATTAAAAGGATATTTGTTTCCTAATAAATTATTTATTCAAATCAAATCATATTTATGTAAAAAAATATTTTTAGATATCATTGAAATGGTTAGAGTTAAACAAAATACATAAATGTTTATCATAAACTGTACTGAAATAGTCTTATTAATTAATAACATATTAATTCTTATATAAAATATATTATAGTCAATTATTCCAATTCGTCGTTATAGAATTTATAATTCAGGTTAAAAAGATTTGAGAATACAATTTTGCTAGGATTTTACATATCATATTAAGTTATTAAATTTATATTTAATGTTGAGTGTGAGGGGAGTAGAGGTTTTTGAATATTATAAAGGAAAATTAGAAAGTTTTAAAACATTAAAAAATGTTGATCTAGTAAATCATTTTTTATTAAAATCTATAAAAAAAAATTGGAAATTTCTCTTGACCATAAATAGATCATGAGTTTGAATTATAATTAATTAATAAAGAATTAAATTTTATCAAAAATCAATTTAGAAAAAAAATTCTTGTCTTTTCTTATTTTTATCTTAATTAAGTACCAATTAGATTCAGTTGACTATTCAAAATCACCTACAAGTCTAACAATGTTGAAAATTGAAATATTTAGATGACTACTTATCGTGCACACACAAACAAAAATTTTTAAATCAATACATTTATCACTGTTCAAAATCTAAAAAAATGTAATGTAATTAATTAGTTTAAACATAAATAGTAGGAAAAAATGATATCTTTGCTTCTATTATAATATTAACGGAAAGCTCTTCTAGATAACACTTATGTTTGGATTAATAAAGTTTGAAACTAGCTATTACAGAACATACAATTTTGAGTTGAAATTTTGCAGATAAATTATATTTCCAATATAATTGGTTTACCATTTTAGAAATCAATAATTATTAATTGTTTATCAGAAATTCAGAATTAAATAAATAAAATGCTTTTGAAACTGATAAATTTATTTATTTTGGTTATTGTGTATAATTAAATTACCAAACACACAGGTCTTTTGATAATTTATCAAGGAGTATAGTATGTACAATTTATAACATAAAAATGAAAACACTAATTATGCATTATCAATTGATAATCTGATCAGTAGAAAGAATAATAAAATATCTGTAACTACAATTCTCAATTCAAAACAAAAAATACAATTACATTAAAATGTTAAATGTATGATTTAGTAAATACATAATAAGATTTATTATTACTATACTACTGAATACTGATTATTATAAATAAATAATTATAGATTTAATATTTATAAGCATTGTATACATTATGCAATATGTATATACAAAATTAATTTTCATTTAATAATTGAGATTAGAATTTAAGATTCCAATAATTATTTAGTATAGATTACTACACTAAATTAGGCAATTAAAAAGTACATTATTTATGTTACTAGCCATTAGTCAGTTTAATTTATTTAGAACTAACCTAGAATTATTTTAAAAATATAATAAAGGTGTAATGTAAAATCTTAACGAGTAAATTTCAACAATATAATGATTAGAATATTAACCTTTTAAAATAACATTATTTTCTATATCGATGTTTGTTACTTCTTGATTCATTTGAACTAGAAGAACTATTTCGTTTGCTTTTATGCTTTTTGGAATATGAATGACGTGGAAGTGGTGACCGACTTCTTCTCGATCTAAAATGTGGAGATCTTCTATCATAATATCTTGAACGTGATCTACTATTATGTCTTGAACGTGATCTACTATTATGTCTTGAACGTGATCTACTATTTTGTCTTGAACGTGATCTATTTCGCTTTGATATTGAATGAGATCTACTTTTATGCCTAGAACGTGATCTTCGTTTTCTTTTTACGCTAGTTCTAAGAGTTTTTTTGTTTAAGGATTTTGATTTAATTTTGTCATTTTTTTTATAACTATATTTACTATCAGTATTATCGCTTTTTATAGTATCACTACTACTGCTTGATGAACTAGAACTCGATGATCTTTTAGATTTAAATTTCTTTTTCTTTTTTTCATTTTTAATATTAAAATTATCAAGAAATTCTTTTTTTATTTTATCATGTTCTTCGTCTATTTTTTTGCTAGATTCTTCATTTTCATTACATACTGAAAGATTATAGTAAATCATTATTTTAAGATCAATGAATTCAATACTATACACTAAATATTATAGATTAATTAAGAATATACATTTTTAAACATATTAATATTTTTTAAATTTTGTGATATTGATGTAATATATGTTATATAATGGTTGTATTTAAATTAACAATAAAAAAAAAAAAAAAAAAAACCAAATTACCAAATATTAGTAAATTATTTCTAAATCTTATTTATTCTAGTCATTTTTAACTCTGCGATATTGAATACTGAATACTAAACTACAAACTTGTTCATTATATACAACTTTTTTTATTAAACAAATGAAACATAATTTTACCTTTTGTCTGAATGTTTTCGACTACCTGACTACCATTATCATTAATTTCTTCACTCAACTCGATACTATTATCAAATTTAGATCTTACAAGTTTTTCCTTGGCTTCTAATTCATCCAATTCCGTAAGTATTCTTGCTTCAATATTACTGAACTCACGTTGGCGTTTTAATATTCTTTCCTATTATATTATATTATATGTTATCAATTACAAAAAAATGTTTGATTTATGTATGGTAATCAGAAATGAAACAATTTAAAATAAATATAAGTTTATGTATAAATTAAATATATTATTTACTTGAATAGCTGCATCAGAATCTTTTTTTAATTGTTTATAATCAGATATGTGTTGTTCTTCATCACTTTCATCTGAAGATTCAGATTCTGAACCATAAACTCCAAGCCCTTTAGTAAAAGTTTTTATTTATGGTAAGTTAATTGTAAACATCATGTATTTGTAAATGATGTGTATCATAAAAATATTGGTTAAAATTCAAAAAAATATAAATAGGTAGTACAAGTTAACAATACATGTTCATTGATTTTAGTTATAGATGATTATTTATAATTTCAAAGTAAATATATTTTAATTCTGACTCAAATAATAGAATTAGCACATTAATGTACATTATTTTATACATATAATTAGTTATATCAATAACTTACCCAGTTTACTAGCTAATGATGTTTGATTTTGATTTCCTTGAATATCTGTTACAAGGCGTATTATGATTTTGATAATAACATTTAAAAATATATATAAATATAAAATATATATTTATTCATACATTTACTCATGTACTTACGTTATCAAATTGTTTTATACACAGACTATAGAGTTATAATTTTTAATAAATATTACCTGTTTGTAGAGTAGTTTTTAGCACTTCTTTAGCTACACTTAATATCATATCATTAGTAACATCCATTAACAATTTTGTTAGAATTTTTCGTAGACCTAACATCTGAAATAATTTAATTCTAATACAATTACTAATGTAAGTATTTTAATATACAAACATAAGAAACAATGGTAACTTAAAACTATTATTGTTTATTGTAAATACAGGTAAATGTTAAAAACTGTATTACCGTATCTTCCCAGATTTGAGCTTTAGTCTTACGTGGAATAATAGGAGAAGAGTCATTCTTCAAAACCTCAATTTTTTTGAATTCAGTACTATGAATATAATCAGAAGATACATGTTCAATTTCATCATCGACCATTTGAGTTTCTTGATCAAAGCTAATAGGCAACTAAAATCAAAAATTATCAAAACATTTTATAATATTAATAACTTGTAATAAAATCAATATTTTTTTTTTACATACATTGGGCGATTCTTGAGTAATATTTTCATTTATAGAATTAGAATAATCAGATTCATCAAAAGATTGATCTTGTTCAATTTTACGTCGTTTCTCCCTTTCCATTTTTTCTAGTCCTTCACGAATCCAAGCAGGTAATTGCTTTCGTTTTGCAGCATCTTATTATAAATATTATAAGCAAAAAATATTATTTTAATGTAACAAAAAATGATTTTATTTTGTTGCAAATTTAATAATAAAATAATATAAAATCAAGCTTACCAATAAATGATGGATCTTGAGTTTTATTATCTACATTGGAAATCATACTAACTTTATTCCATTGATCAGAATCAGTAGGTGGTGGAATACTAGTATTGGATCCTGCCCAATAATTCTAAAATAATATAAATAAGTAAAAATAATTACAATTATTAAAATATTAAAAACTTACATTATGTGAAAATGGTTTGTTTGGTCCCACCATTGGGAAATATGGAGGTGGTTCACATAATGTAGGAGGTACAAAAGGTGGTCTAAGAGAATTAACAGGCTCAATAGTAGGTGCTTTAATAGAAGAAGCTGTTGAAGATGCCCAATTCCAATTCCATTGTTGTTGTTGCTGCCAAGTCCATGTATTCCAAGCTCTTGGTTTTTCAATATTATTTCCTGGAAAATAAATATTTAAATAAAAACAAATAGTAGGTAAGACAATATTTACATTAGTTAATGGTAAGCTACTAACTTGTAACAGGACTGACAATATTATGATCACCGAGCATTTTATTTGTTACTGGAGCTACGTTTGATGGATTCCGAGGTTCTACATACTGACCAAGTTTGACCAAATTGTGTTCAGAAGTCGGAATCTTTACTTGTTGTCCAGGGGATATAGCAGGCGAAGTTTCTTTCATTTTGATCCATTGTTGAGCCAAACTTGCCCAGTCCACTAAAATATATAAATTTATTTTAAATGTTATGTTTATGACATTGATTACAGTTTGATACATACCTTGATCGTTGTTCATGTTTTTATAAAATGCTGGATCCATCCATTGGTTTCCATAAGCCATGCTTGTTGATGATGGATCCGACCACATCACCTCCACAACTATTAAAAGTGCTCAAGATAATTTTTTTAGGTATAGTTTCAAAATTAATGAATTTATAGTTTGTAAAATATCAAATTGGTGCGCCTGTAGATGTTTTAATGTCAAGTGATATAAGTACTTTAAATATGAACAAGAATTAATAGGATTTTTATTATCTCATACAATAATGAAGTCCAGTTGAAAACAATTTCAATTTTCACTTTACCTACCCAAGTTAAAAATGTATTATTTCAGAACATTAAAAAACGTCAGTGTAAGCAATACATTTCATAAACAATGATGCCTTACGAGTTATGTGGTACAGTAGAGTTCCAAATGTCGTCTTAGAATTAGGTCGGTCGAACTTTGTTCAAGTTTCAATTAATTCGGAAGATACCCACAAGGTAGGCCGTCTGTGTTTAACAATTACTAATTATAACTGGTAATTGCTAGGTAGTTGTAAGCAGCTTGTTATAATTAGTAAGTTATATAAATAATGTGAAATTAAACTCATACTTCATGGATACATAACAAAAAAATATTTAATATTTATATATCTATGGTTGTACTAAGGAATAGATTTAGTTGTACGGAACAATGATAGTATAAATAGTACGATACTACGATAAAATAGATCATAATATCATAGATAAATTGGTCAATAATACAATATCAATTTTATTATGAAACTTCGACAATAAATTATATACTTCAGAACGTGCATTATTATTTATTAGTTATTACTAATTAGAGAAGTTTCGAGTTCGATAAAAAAAACGTCGAAATTTGGTGACATTTGCTTCTGATGTTTCTATACTTCTATAGTCCTATACTCCTATGACATTCGCCCTACCGGCTACCACGGTATAATGATAACGGTCACCTTATTATCATAGAATGTTAGCATATTATCACGGAATAAATTAAATTGTGTAGTATCACTAGTATCTATTCTATTACTCTCCTAATCTTGAGAGTTGAGACCGTCGTCCGTTAAGTAATTACTAATTACATAATTACTAATTAGTAATTGTCTAATTACTCTATGGCCTAACGCCTGAGGGCTAAGACCGGCGTGCTCTGGAGTCTGGATCATCAGAAATTATCTATGTCGACTATATCTATGATCTGGATAACGTTATTTTTAAATACTGATTTCACCCTCTAATCATTAAATAAATATTTATTCTCAAATCGTGTATCGTATTATCCAGTATCTACCAAAGAACTGAAAGAACTATTTCAACAGATCTTCAGCAATCGCTAACCAGTTTTCGGCGTTACACCTTTACTTCTTTAACAAATGTCGGTGCTGAATAGTGAATAGTAAATCAAGTGTCAACTTGTTACCTTTGCAAAATAGGATTTTTTCCCATTAGAATATGATACAATAATAAAAGAAGTACAAAAATAATTATCCAATTATGGAAAATGCTAATATTGTTCAAAACGTGAGCTTGGTTACAATAGACCATTACATGAGTAATCCTGTGGACGGTTTTGATTCTTTGTACTCTGAGTTTTGGGGAACACAGATACTTCAGGTTCCTGTCCTTAGGGTATTTGGATGTACACCAAATGGTAATTATAAGTATATATTTGTTTAAAATATGAAAGCTATATTTTTCTAGTTTATTTTGGTTTATATAATAAAATGTTTTAGTTTGCTAGACGAAAAATAATAATTATAATTTATTTTTAAAAATTTAGGGGAAAAATGTTGTCTACATGTGCATGGAGTATTTCCTTATATATTTATTCCATTAGAAGAATCATATGAAACAAAAAATCAAGAGATTTTATATAATTTCGGAAATAGTCTTGATAAAGCATTATGTTTGGCTATTGGATCCACAAATTCAAAATCTAAACATATTCATAATATTATTACAGTTTGTGGAAAGTAAGTTTAATAATTCCTTCGTGAGTTCATCTATCTATATATTTAAAAAATTAATATTTTTAGATCTTTTTATGGCTATCATAGTGAAAACACTAAATTTTTAAAAATTCTTTTCTACAATCCATACTTGGCTAAAATTGCTGTTGATTTATTACAAGTAAATAACATATTTGTAAATACATTATATTCTATACTAATCAGTTAAATGAACTACTTTATTCTGGATTTTTAATATAAACATTTTTATTTTTAGAATGGAGCTATTTGTAACACAATATTCCAGCCTTATGAAGCACATATACCATATCATTTACAGTTTATGATAGATTATAATCTTCACGGAATGAATTATATAAAATTATCTGCTGTTAAGTATAGGAATTCTGTTGAACAACAAGGGTAAGTTAGATAAAAAAAATGTTTGTCAGTAAATTTTTTTACAAACAATGGTATTATTTTTGAAGTTAAAAGATTATAATATATTTTTATAAATTGGGTAAGTCATTGAGATAAGTAAAACTTCTTTTTATTTTTATTGGAAATATTTTAAATTTAAATAACATACTTATCCGCTATCAATAATTTTAAGTTGAGCTTAGAGGGAGAAATCTTTTTCTTTTTTTTATTACATTTAATTATTGATTTCTTCAGAATAATAATAATTGGTTATTATTATAAAATAGAAGTTGCGCTTTATGTTTTTAGTTCTATTATTTATTTAATTATTTATATTTTCAGGCTTTCAAAAACTAGTCGATGTACTAATGAAATGGACGTACAAGCTATTCACATCTTAAATCCTATGCTAATTAATGGTATCAACATATTCTTCTCCTTAAACTTAATAAATATAATATTATTTTTTTTTTTTGGCAATCAATTTATTATTGTTAATATTTTTAGGAGAATTGGAAAATTCTGGTTTGGTCAATATTCGGGAACAAATAAATAAATTATCTACAGACTTGAATGTAACAAGGAAAGGACTTGAAGTATTTAGTGGAGAAAGGAAATTGATTATTCCATCAAATATAGAAATTGAATTTGGTATTGAAATAAAAAATAAAATGAAAAAAATAAAAGTAATTTTTTAATGTCTTAAATCATATACTGTTAATTTTAATTGTTTAAAAATTATTTTTAATCACTTGAATCATTTCTAATCTATCAAAGAATTATATGCATTTTATTTTATTTTAAAATAATGTACAATAGATTTTAGAAATTAATAAGTTGGTATACTTAAAATATAATATCCACCTTAATATTTTATATTTTTATCAACATTTTTCATAGTAATTGTTGTTTAGATGTATTTTTTTATTAATGTATGATTGAAAATATTTGTGTTTTGCAGAAAGAAAATATTACTAAAAATACATTTCCAGAGCTAGAAATATCAGTGAATGAAGATTTAGTATTAAATTTATCACAAGTTTTCCAGTCTCAAACCTCTTGTAAGTTACAAATTTATTTTTATTTTTTTTTTAATGCTTAAATATATTTATATGTTCTATATAATTTTTAGTATAAGTGAGTTCACTCATTTTTTCTATCAATCACCATATTAGATAAAAATGTGTAACTTATGGTTGTTTAAAATATTCTATGAATAAATACTTTAAAATAGTAGTGTAGATATTTTTTTCCTGGGTGTAGGGTTTTTGTTTTACTTTTAATGATCTATGTTGATGTGTTTTCTAATAAAAAAAAAGAAAATGAAACATAATTGTAATGATTTATCTATTTAATATCATTCAAATATTCAACAAATATATTTTTTAATTAGACAAATATTGAGTTCAAAATAATTTAACTATTTAAATTAAATTTTTTATTAAATAATAATAAGTTGAATTATTAACTAGTATCATTTTAAAATTTCATTGCACGTTTACTCCATTCTGTTTTAATGAATTTAGTATTCACTAATTTTAACAAAAAGCAATAGAAAAAATTCCCAAATATTTTTATGTATTACTTAAAGAATAGATTATGAAAGTATTATTTCAGTTGATACTTATAATTGAATTATGCACAAAAATATTAAATACATAATATAGTATAAACTATAAAATATTCAGTTACAGGATAATAAAAAGAATCTATTATAGATTGATATCTATTGTAGACAGGTTTTAGTATGTTTTTAGTCAAACTTGTATAAATATCTATTTAATAAAAATAAAATCTATTGTAAATGTTAATACATATTATAAAACATAGGCATGCACATAGTTATAAATGATAATATAAAATTACCTTGAAAGTTTTGATATATGTATATATTATAAAAGAGTACCTAGCTTTTTAAGTGTATCTATGTACTCTGTTGTTAGTTGTATAATTGTACATAATATATAAATACGTAACTAATTATTTCATTCCGCAACACTGGAATAATATATACATATAGATACAATTTTATTTGTGTTTGAACTAAGATTTTTATTTGTTATTAAGGTATTTGAGAAAAATACTACGGTCTGTGTCTATAGTAAAAAAAAGTGCATAATAAACATGTCAAAATATACTAGAATACCTATCTTATTACTAACACTTAATCATTTAGAATGTTTAAAGAGGCGACTGTTAAGTCAGGTTTCACTGTTATAAATACTGTATTTTTTAAAAATGTTTAAATATGCATAATAATTTAAAATGTTCCAAGTATGCAATAAATAGGTATCAAATTTTACCCATTCACTCATTAATCTTAGATTCAAATGTATATTTCACATAACTGATTTTTAAACTAGTTAATAGAATATTTTAATGCATTAAAATCAATTTCAACAAATTGATTACAATTATTATACTAATATTACTGAAACATATGCTCATTTAAAATTATAGTTATCTGTAAATAAATGTATCAATTTTTAGTGTAATCAATGAAAGACTGACAAAGCAGTTCATATCTGGCCCTGGAAATCAGATATTATAATATATACTGTAGTCTATAGATGATATATAGTAATTAGTTTTATTTATAGTCCATATATATAATATGGTAAAATAATGCAATTAGCGATATTGTGAAAACCAATATTATAAATTACACTGCAGAGTTGAACTACAGATAATTTTAATAATTACAACAATTAAAATAGAAAATTACAATAATTTAATATTCTTTTATTTGTTTTATTTGTAATAATACTATTGTACTACTATATATATTTGTAATTGCCTTGTCATTTTGGAAGGGAAGAAGGGGTTTGAATTATTTAATATTACATTTTTTTAAGAATAATATAATTAATTTTTTAATTACATTAGGTATCAAATTTTTGTAAATATTTTTTATGCTTTAATATTTTATTTTATTTTTCTATCAATTATAAATTATACTTGTATAATTTAGGGGATAGTCAAAGCATTGATTTAATGAATTTATTAATGAAGGAAACAATTGCTTTTAAAAATGAAGATAGTATTCTCTGTCACAACATTTCAAATGAAGATGAAAATGAATTTGAAAATGAAGAATTGTCTATTTCTATGATGCAATTGAATGAAAAGTATTTTAAATTTCACCTACTTACTTAATAATAATATTATTTTAATTTTGATTTATTTTTTGTTACTAGCTATTTCTTTTAATTATTAATTACTATTTTTTATGTTATAGCTTATCACAAAATTTAGAAAATAGTAATATTTCAAATCAAACTCAGATAAAGGATTCATTAATTAAGTCCAGTATTGATGTGGATAATTCCAATTTACATTCATCCAATAATGATCAGTTAATACCAGTTTTTAATATTGCTTAACTAAAATTAT